ATTTAAAATTTATATCTTAAAAATCAAACAGTCCTTATCTCGCAGATTCCAACCCTTGCCCTCTCGCAGAGGTCAAACGCAAAAGTTGTGTTAGCCTGTTAACGTTCCAGGTGTTCAGAGAGTAGTGCGCGCGCGGCGTTCAGAGAGCTGTCCAGATGGTGGGGAGCCAGTAAAATCCAGCCGTACGCGTGTGATCTCCCCTGTTTTATTTTAATTTTCCACGCCAATTTTTTGCCCAAACGCTTGGCCAGGCTAAAGTTGTGTCAATCTATAAATGCGCGTAGCGTCCTTCTTATTTAAATCTTCATCCCGTAGTTGTAATGATCAGGCTTATTTTCATATATTCATTTTTTCAAGAAATGGAACAATTTTATTGTTGTAGTTTAAAGAAAACAAAAAACCTCATCTTTGCTTCTTTTCCCTATCTTTTCTTTAATGTACAATTAAGTTCACACAAATGATCTGATGCAATACAATCGCTTTTAGTAGGTGCAGTGTAATCCTGGAGTGGAGTGTAATAGACGCATGCGAGATTCATGGGCGCAGCGCAAAATTAAGTTAGAAAATATTTTGGAGGGGCTGAATTTAGTTGCTTAAATCTTAAAAGTTGGGCTTAAAATAAGTATTTTATCTGGTTCTGTTTTCAGTAGTGTAGGGTTTTCTCTTTATGTCTCTAATTATAACTTTAAACTTCTTTTATCTCTTTGAATTTTACAAAAATCAAACAAACAAGATATTCATGTGTAAACCAGGTAAACATCTCAACGTTATAAGATTTACTGACAAAGACTTCAACCATCCCGGTTACAGATATGGCAGTTGCATTGGCTCTCTCTGTGGACCCTCTATGTTTCTCTATCAGCTTCTTTTTTTTATTTTAGGCGATTCCCGCCTTTTTCTACCTAGATTTGTACCCTTTGCAGACGAAATTATTTTGGAGGTAAAATTTTATGATCAACAAATTTTTGTTAGAATTAATTAAGAGAAGTAGCGATTTCTGCCTTACAAGTGAAAGTTACTGAGATAAGAAATAAAAATAACCACCATAAATGACTCACCGACCGTGTGACTGAAGACACTGCAGGTTATCTCAAAAGCGACTTGCGAATAACAGTTGAGAGTTTTCAGACACTTATATATAACGAAATCATGGGATGCATTACAAAGGGATTACATATATATATAGTCTATTGTACGAGTGTGTTAATTATGTGTCTATTTATTTGTGAGCAGATTGAAATTTTAGCGGCCCGTTTTACCTCTCTTTTGATGTCTTTTTTTTGTCAGTTAACTTACTGTTGTGACAGGAGCCCTGGAAAAAAGGAAAACTTGTCGTAAAAAAAACCAGTGCAGGGGTCTTCCTTAAAAAAAAAAAAATCTTTTAGCTTGCATGGCTGACAGTAAGGGCGCGCTCTTCGCGCGTTTTCACTGCTCCGACGCTCATTTGCGCCTCCCGGGTTGCGCCGTGTCACCAGACAAAACGGCTGATCATAAAACCTATTCATGCTTATTTCACACTTGTACTCAGGGGAGTCATTTTGAATGTTGTCGGTCACGCATGTAGCTAAGCACGAGGCGAAAATTGATTTAGAACTGTTTTAAGTTCAGCACACTTACATGTACTACATTACAATAATTGTCTGCTTAGAAAAATCTGGAGCGGCGGGAATTACTTGCTTAACATGAATAGTTTAACTTTTGGCCTCCAAACCCGAACTGAGCACAACTTTTTTTCCTAAACGGGTTGCGCCGTGTCGCCAAACAAAACCAACAGCTTTGCAAGCTAAAAAACTTTGACCAGTGGTTCTATTGAGTTTTTAACAAAATCAAGTCCATCAGTATCACACGGAATTTATAACTCTACCATGAGCTTGTATTGGGTGAAAACAGAGCATAATAACAACATCGTCATTTTGGCGCCATATCCAGTGATCCATGTAGAATAACTTCTCTAGCATAAAGTGCATTTAGCAGCAAATACAACTATATACCGGGACCGCGGATGAGGCTGGGTTTGCCACAGCCCCACCAATAATTCCACCGGGAGTTTTTTGTTTTGCATTTGAGAAAGTATTTCTAATGTTTGTGTTAAAAACAAACGCAATTTTCTTTGTCGAATGTACGGTGTTTCAAGGCGCTAAACTCTCTAGCTTTGCGCCACACGTCTCACGCTTCTGACCAGGTCGGTTAAATTTATTTTGACCGAGTGCGCGATCTTGACCTAAGCAAAAATACCGAAAATGATCGATCTAATAGACGTTATCTCTCAAGTAAACTCCTCTTATCTAATAAACATCTCCTGTCAAATAGACGCCGAACATCAAATTGCTCCACAATGCCAGGAAGTAGGAAAATAGCGCAAAATAACTAAATTAACTCAGTATCTTGCTTGATTAATAAGCGTTTGCGCATTACGTTTTGTTCAAAGTCAAGTTTAAAGAAGATAGAGCTAAATAACAGATTAGAGTTGTTCAAGATGCCTGACTGTCAGGTAGAAAGAGTTTATATTCTTTTTTTAAAACTGTTTAAGGTGATTCCTTAGTAAAAGAACCTAACGTACATTGTAGATGAAACTTGGTACACTGGTGTAACAAGTCAAGGTGATGATATAAAAGTAATAAACAGTGGGGGTCACCGTGCTTGTTTTGACTTCACAATGCTGACAAATACGGCTATTTTGGACCCTTTGACAAAAACCGCGCGCAGCCCAAAACTAGACAAAAAGGAGTGATTTTTTCAATGATGCATGAGGTATCGCGCAGAATTTGACTTTAATATATTGTTTATCCACTTTCGTACCAGAAAAATACCTTTTAATGCCCTTGTGTTTACTTTACGCTTCAAAGTAGAATTAAATTGGATACGCGCTATTCTACCTGTGATAGCTCAATCCGTACAATTTAGTAAAATTGCCAAAAAACTGAAAGTAGATTTGGGCCAATTTTTTTCTCATCGAAAGGAAGCACTGTCCTTATGAAAATCATGAAATAAAAAATGGGGTCACCGCATTCGTTTTTGCGGTAGAGCTGCAGAAAGTGCACATCAAATGCATTTTCTCCGATTTTTGAGAGAGGACTGGGGCGAGTTTTACAATAGAATGTATGTGAAAGGGGGAAGGAAGTATTAAAAAGTCTGTTTTTACAGAACTTACATCGAGATATCACATTTAGGACACAATGTGATAAAGAAAGCGTTTAAATGAAAATCAAAGTGAGTAATTAAAATTAAACATCCACTATCGAGGTTCTCCGTGAGGAGTCGAACTCAGCAACACGCGTACTGCTTACGTTATGCACATTCCCACCCCACTGAGTCTCACCTCGGCAAGAAACAACCGCAAGCAAAAATTGCAATAACGTTCCTCTTCAGTCAACTTCATTTTAATAATGTTACTTCACAAGCTATTCTTTACGGAGGCCATATTGTTATGGGCAGTAAGAAATGCGCAGTGCAAAACCAGGGGATCACCTTAAGGGGAGACACTTAATTTTCATAGGTGTTGCTTCCCAGGTCTGTGATGCCACTGCACCAAACCTTGCTAGGGCATAATTAGTTCTTCGTAAAATTATTAGTTGGCCGATAGGGTAAGGTGCAGTTAATCCTATTCCTCATTTCAAGCCCTTCTCCTACTTATTCACTTCCGCTACGGCCGGTCAGAGTACCTGTTCACACTGCACCCTGGCACACAAACTATGCGATATATGACGCTTCACTCCGTCACAGAAATCGCGCCAAAATCACCGTGTGTGGACAGAAGCCATACCCGGAATGGTTTTCGCGCACGCGCAATTCGGCACAGTGTGAACCAGCGGACACTTTTAACAGGTCAATCGTTACTCTGCGGAGTGAAGATGTGTCTTCAATATTTCTTTTTACATAGTTTTTTTTTTCAACGCAAGACGCTCGACGACGCTTATCCTCGTCTTTTTCTTACCGGGGTGCCTCTATCCCCCCGGACTGCGACTGCAGAGTTTGAAAATCAAATTTCTGTTTATGCGGCGGCTGGAGTATAAGAAAGAATCTTTCAAGGTTTCCAGACAGGGGAGAACTCCGTTCTATGAAGAGACTTTGGCCTTCTCCTGCACCTAGTTCATTTGTCAATATATTTAATAATGTGCTTTTAAGTGGACAAAATTCTTTGGTGCGACTAATCATGAAACCCCTCTTTTGGTTATGGTTACATCATGTCACTGACCGCAATTGCGTTTACCAATTTTTTCACTGATAGTTTCACAGCACGGGATTCTGAATGCAACCCGCGAGCCGTGTGTAGAGACCCTAGGGTTAAGAGACGAGAACGACTATGAGTACGAGATTGTCCCCAGCGATACAAAGTAATGCACGCACGTTGGCGGGAAAACGTGATAGCCGTCGTAATTCTACTACGAGTTTTAGCGAGAATGTCGTAGTGGAGGAAACAAGTTATCAACCATTACAAGTTTAATCATTTTGTGTTCGGGAGAGAATCATCAAGCTCCTCCAATAAAGATAAGAGTACTAATTTTTCAGGTGGAAAGAAAGTACAACAAAGTATTCCGGAGTGTCTATTTTGCGAAGAGTCTATTTTTTTAGAATAGGCGAAAAAACTTTAATGAAATCTGGTACTCGTAGTCGTTCTGGTCCTCAAATCTAAAAGTCTCTATTAATCCGTGGGTGAACATCTTTAGAATGGGTTTCTACCCTCTCTTTAATAAACTGTTTAGTCTTCAGCAAGTACTCCTAAAAATTTAAGCTTTCCACTCTATTCTCATAAAACTGTATTTTCATGCCAAAACTGCTTTTCTCAGTTTCATATGGGTCTCGAGCTCCTTCGTCCCTTTGGGAGCAATTATTGCTTTCAGACATAAAACTTAAAACGCCAGTTCTACACATAACACACTGTTTATTTCCTTTAAGTGCCTTTAAAAGAAGAAGACCATAACATTCAAGTAAGGTGAGATGTAAGTTGGAAATGAAACAACATTTTGACCATAAAACATGGTGAAAAACAAGCAAACAATTCAAGCAAAGTCTTTGAATAATGGTTTTGACAGCTCTGAAGAAACAAACAAACAAAGAACAGCAGTTAGAGTGGATACAGAGGGTAGTGTAATCTATTTTAAGGTGAGGATTAAGCCTACTTATCAGGCCGTAATATCCAGTTCAGCCTAACGGAAATGCGCCGAAATACATTGACCGAGAAGGCTTGTCGTGCGGGGACTAGACAAGATGTGGATAATTCAAGGAAACGTCTAATGTTTAGGCTTTATTTATAGAAATGGTTCGTTTTATAATAAAACACGTAAGAAGCCAGGTTAAAAAACACCATTCAATGTTGTTTCTTTTAAAATAGCACCCCGGCCCCTGACCCAACAAATGAGTATAAACTTCTCTGATTTCGATTCATTTCAACTTACGCTTGTTTGACACATGTTTAGATTATAAAGCAAGTTTCAAATTAGTGATTGCATGCAAACAAACGTGATATGCATACAATCGTAGAAAAACGTCAAGCCAATCGATTGAGACAAATAACTTTGTTACCGTACCTATAAGTTTACAAAGAACGCAAAAACAAAGATGCAAAGCAATAAGTTTTAAAATCAAGCCGCTGACCGAAGAAACTGAGGCTCAGGGTTCAGTTTCCAGGACCTATGGATTTCCACGCAGAAAAATTAATCTATTTTCATTATTTTAGCAGAGCCAATAATAATCTAAAAAGTACAGTTTGCAAACAGGGAAGTTTTTTAACTTACTCTTTTTATTTGCAATTCCAGTAGGGATTTTGACACCATTGATAGAGAGTCCTGTTCCCTCAACTGAAAATTAAAATAAACAATAAAATATACTCTACCAAATTAAAAGATATAATGTTAGTGTTTTGTGAAGCTTGACTCAGTATTTCTCTCGCAGACTTAATACACTATTTCCGAATGGATGCAAACCCACTTTGTTTGTGATAAAAACTCCTTTTATTTAGCTGTTAAAATTATAGCCACAGCTCACGCAGACGTTCCTTGGACTGACGAAGCCCTCCCTCGCGGCTGTTTTTGTCTCGTCACGGCTCTGCGTGACGAGACAAAAACGGCTGCGAAGGAGACTATTATAATATTATTGTCTTTCAGTACTGTTAAGGATTAATAGAAAAGACTGCTGTACCGACAATCATTACCTTCATCTCCTTCATCAGTGGACAGAGGCGCCTCACATCCTTGTTCCCTACAAAACGATGTCTCACAGCCTTCTTTCCTGTCACAAAAAGGCTTTATAGCACTGCGGTAATAGTTGTAGTTCAGACAATCACGCCAGAACAGGCCACTGTCTTTAACTGTTATGCACGCTGCAATCTTATCGTTGCACATAAAAGATTTAGTGGATTCATCACAATCGCTTTCGGCGTTTTCTCCCATTCCAATGCAGACAGGACACTCCAGTGGCGTAGTATACGTCTCTTTCTTATCTACAAACAAACATGGAGAAAAGGTTTTTTAAAATCTTGTAAATGAAATTTTAGCACTTTTTTAACTAATCATTTTATTGCAAAGAAATTAAAGTGCAAAATCCTTTTTTTCTGCCTTTCAAACCATCCTCTACGCAAATGCGTGGAGATACGAAGTTTCTCTTCGAGATACTGTATTTTCAACACGGAATATCATTTAATTGGTGCTAAAGCTCACCTGGTATTTCACTGATGTTTATACTTATAGATATACATTTATGCACCTAAACAACATAACATAACATACATGTTTATTCAAACTCATAATAACTACATGAATTTGAAAGGGAGAGTCTAGAGCTTAACCCTATGAATAAAACTGTCCTAAAAACAACAAACAAACAATAAAAATTACAACTTTAAAAAGGATTTGAGTTTACATTTAAAAAGTTCAAGGGAACCGGCTTCAACAACATTACTAGGTAAATTGTTCCAATAACTAATTACATTGTTAAAAAAAGAATATTTCAAACAGTTGATTCTAGATAATTTACAATAAAGCTTATACGAGTGATTTGCCCTAGTGGATTTGACTTTTGCGAATTGAAAGAATTCCTCAAAATCCAAGTGTGATAAGCCAAACACGATCTTATAACATTCAACAAGAGAGGAATATGTCCTACGACTGGACAAAGATGGCCAATGTAACGAGTCAAACCCCCTTCATAAGACATATCACCTCTTTTTTGCCTAAGAGCTAATCTTGACGCGCGTCTTTGCACGCTCTCTATTGCATGAATATCTTTGACAAGATATGGGTTCCAGACTGGAGCAGCATACTCTAGAAGTGGTCTGACCAATATTTTGTAAAGCAATGAAAAGGTTGTTGTATTAGCTGCTCCAACAGACCGTCTTATTAGCCCTAGGACTTGGTTCGCCTTATTCACCATAGTACTAATATGTTCACTCTAAGTAAGATCTTTTGATATAATAATTCCAAGATCTTTAAAGCTCTTGACATCTTCTAAGGCCGTACCTAGTTTATAATTCGTAGTCGATTTGTCACGAGAATGCGTTATTCGCATTGCTTCACACTTTTCCTCATTGAAACGAAGTTGCCATTTTTTCGCCCATTTACCAAGATTATTCAAATCAGTTTGAAGGTATTGTTCATCGAGACTAGGGTTGCGAAGCTCTCTGTTTATCTTTGTGTCATCCGCAAATAATTTAATTTTTGAAGAGACACTATCAACGATATCATTTATATATGATAGGAATAAAATTGGACCAAGAATAGTTCCCTGTGGGGTACCAGATATCACAGGTGCCCAATCAGAAAAAGTCCCTCTTACAACAACTCGTTGCTTTCTACACGTGAGGAAATTCCTCAACCAGTTAAGAAGTTTGCTCTCAATACCGAGGCTATATAACTTTATGAGTAGACGCTCATAAGGAACACTATCAAAAGCCTTTGCGAGATCAAGAAATACAACATCTGTTGCTACAGATGAATTCCTAGATCTGGCGAAGTCATGAAAAGTAGAGAGTAATTGGGTCACAGTAGACCTACCCTGCAAAAAACCAAATTGGTTTTTGTTTATCACATTATGGTCTTGCCAAAATGACGTTAACCTATCGCGTACAATTTTTTGGCTGATTTTGCATATCATGGATGTAAGCGAAATTGGACGACAATTCTCCCTCAAGTTCTTAGAACCTTTCTAATAGCCAAGGTCTGATAAAAATGCCTCAGTGCCAGTAATAAGAATTCATCCACAGACTCAAACTTTATTTGCATTAAACATCTCCGTTCATTAACCGTGTGCTTCCGTAACAAGTAACAGAAAAAAGTAAGTTTATGTTCGTTATATTTCATATATTCATAGCCTCTGATCAAGCTCTCTGTGGGGTGAGGACGGGAGAGAACAATTCCCCCACGCTCCCCTGAGTAACGGGCTTCGTGGAGAGCTTGCTCTCGGGGATAAAGTATTCTTTGACTGACCTCTACTTTTTCAAAGTAACATGTACACTGATTGGAGGAGAGGTTTTTTGAGATTGCAGACCACATTTTTCCTCGCCTGCGAACAAGCTCTTCTATTTGGGCGACAGGAGAGAACGCGGGAGTAAGCGGCGCCGCGAGGGCCGAGAAAACTCTCCCCCGCCCCCCGCTTTCGCGTCTTCCCTCTCGTGTCTCTCGCGCGTCTACTTTTCACATGATATCCCCCAAATGGAGAGCTTGCTAGCAGGCTCCGTTTTTCCAAGATATTTCACAGGAATGAGAGTGAACACTCAAAAACTGTCAATTACATGTATACACCAGGGCCCAGTTGTTCAAAGCTGGGTTAAGATAACCCAGGGTTAGTGCGAGATTAGAATTCAGATTTGAAAGCTTAAAAAGCATTTCAGTTTTAATTCTTTTTGTCGACAAGTTGATGATTGGAAGCTCTAAAAATAGCACAGAAAATTATCCGAGAAAATGCTTTTCAACACAAGAAAAAGAATCCCGGGTAAAATTTAACCCCGGGTTAAGCGCTAATCGGCCTTCGAACAACTGGGCCCAGGACAATAGTTTATGGTCTATACACTGTACTCTGACTTATGACATCAACTTGACTTTTTATTTCTATGGTCTCTTAGAGTACAGGTCATGAAATGTTGACGTAAATTTTTTTTAGAGCTCTGCATTATCTCCCTGATTCCTTGTGTTTCGCTCATTAATATAAGTGTTCTTGACTCTTACCTTTGGACAGATACGCTGTACAGTCAGATTCCTCGCACATTGCGTGTTCACAGTTCTCAATACCGTCACACTTTGGAACGATGTAATCGTTGTAGTACTTTTTACTCTGGCATTCTCTCATAACCAATTCGCCATTTTTGGTGCTCACGCAGACGGCATCTTCTGCGTGACAGGCTCGGTAAACGGCCTCGTTGTCACACTTTCTCTCTGCTTTCTTTCCGAGACCAACACAGATTGGGCATTTGAAGACTTCAGTTGCGTCATCTAAGTCAAAATAATAATAAATTTTTGTCTCCACATTTATCATTTTAATGATAATAATAGTAATGATAACATATTATTATTATTATTATTATCATTAATTGTTGTTATTATTATTACCATCGTCATTTTTCCGGTAAAGGTTATTTTATAATCATCATCTTGTCCGAAAGTATGGTAATCTCTGTGTACTAGAGAACTATCTTCGCCTAGGACACCGGCTTTTTTCTTTTCCCACTCTCTTGGCAAGTTGAACTGTCATAAAAAAGTTACGCTATAAAACTCGAGACAATTTCCAGAGCACAAAATTATTATATCCCCGCCAACGAACTCTGACATGCATCGACTCAATGCTTACTTAATTTTGTCTGTAAGATAGACAACATTAAAATTTATGGTTTTCAATGAACACGAGGCTCAGGATCGATATTTACTGATTAATTGCAGCACCTGAAAAAATTTAAAGAAAATCAATGTACGAATTTTGATTTAATCGCTGTTTTTTAAGTATTCTTAGAAATTGCATAAAAGGAGCTCAGCATTGTGTTTTACCCTGATTCATATCTTTTCTTTTGTATTTAACTCGCGCAAATCTACCTGCTCACAACGGTTTGTAAAAAGTATATAACAGGGACATTTGTTAAATTAACTGATCGAGGAGTAAAAACCATACGAAAACATCCAGATCTCGACCGAAATCAAATTTGTATTATAAAGTTTAGCAGGTCTTCTGATTGCACATAAATTATATCCCTTATTTAGAAATTTCAAGCTATTAATATCTAAAAATTTTTCGTTTAAAATTTTTCGAAACTTGGCTCAGTAGAGTTTACTGATTGCATAGATTATTCATTTCAATCTCGAAAAAATAGTAATACCATAATAAACCGTCTAAGTTAATCCATCCATAATAACAAGTGGTATACTATATGTATAATAAAGATTAGGCTGAAAGGTGGCAAGCATGCTAACAAAAATACTGGTCGAGCGATGAGAGCCACCTTAACTTAAAAACACCATATTTTTTGAAAGCCTTCTTACCTTGATAGTATGACGTCACAGCTACAACCAACGCTGCAAGTATGAAGGCACAAAAAGTCTTCATAATAAAAAAGAGCTACGAGGAAGATAAGGCGCTGGAAAATCTGCAGAAAAAAATGAAGGAGTATAAATGAAGCACTTAGCAAAAGAGTCAATTATTGGACAAAATCGCGATGAAAGAATAATTTGTTTCTCTAACTCGGCGGCAGATTTTCAACGGTTATCAATAAAGAATCGCGCTTGCGATTAGACAGCAAAACGCTGTCCGTATTTTTGCCTATTCAAGTACGCTCGAACAGTTAAACAAAAATTCTGGATCGAGGCTGAAAACAGAGAAAAGGAAGGATAAAGAAAAATAATCTTTGCAACTACTGCAGCTATTCGCTTATTCTTTGCTGCTCAGCTTTGCTAGATCGCTCCATCTGATATAAATAGGCCTACATCAAGCCAAACGTCTAATATGCAATTTTGCTACTGTTTAGTAATCCTTTAGGAGGCTGGGGGTATGATAAAAGACCTTCCTTTGTCTAAACAGACTCTGTTTTGAGGCTGACAATAAAACGTATTCATGCTTATTTTACACTTGTACTCAGGGGAATCATTTTAAATGTTGTCGGTCATGCATATAGCTAAGCTCGCCGCGCGAAAATTAATTTAGAACTGTTTTAAGTTCAGCACACTTACATGTACTACATTACAATAATTGTCTGCTTATCAAAAATTTGGAGCGGCGGGAATTTACTTGCTTAACATGAATTGTTTAACTTTTGACCGCCAAACCCGAACTGAACACAACTTTTTTTCCAATACAGATTACCTGGTGACGTTAGTGGATTTTCCAGTGTTTTGTGCGAGTATGCCTTTATAGGGGATCTTTCTCTTGCGAGCAGTTACCGATGGATGGGTACGTTTATTATGTATGGTTTATAATTACAGAGAGCACGTTCAAGACGCCAGGAAAGATTGTATATCATGGTTACATGTTTTACATACGCGGTGCGTTGAATTTGCGTTGGTTTTTATTTCTACCGATGTTTCTATTTGTGATAAGTTCCTTCCAACTTAAAAAATTAATAGGTAACTACAACTCATAAAAAGGAAAAAAAATCCAAAACACACGTATTTCCAGGTACCTTACACTTAAGTGTTTAACAAGAGCTTGCAGGATCAGTTACTGCTGCAGTATTGAGCTAAGAAATGCAAAGAAGAGTATAAAACTAAAATGAAGTACTTACCGAACTTGTGATTTTAACTCGACGAGAGCGACGAACGAAGTGCCTTTTAGGAGTTACCAGTAACTTTATATAGCGGAATCTTTTCAACCATAACAAAAGGATTAATTTTTCTATTGTAAAGTTTGCCAATTTGTATGTTCATTCATTCTGTCTGTTATGGTTTTGAATTTTAGCGCCCCGCTTTGCCTCGCCCTGCTTCGCGCGCGAAAAAACGAATACTAGTTGTCCATCCACACCTTCGGCTGAATTATGGTCAATTATCTCTTGCCTTCGAACGTTGACCTACCCTTAAAATGCGACATGCTTTGTAGGGCATGACTAAAATCCCTATTTTAGCCGGCGCCAAATTCAGTGAACAATAGAAGCTTACAATGATTGTATTTTAATGAAAATCAAACAGTCCTCATCATGCAGACTCTAGGACAAAGGTTAGAATCCTGGACAAACCTGAATTTTGTCGAGATTTCCTTTGGCAAAAGCAAGTTGCGGCAGTCTATAAATGCTTGCAGCGACCTTCTTTATTTTCTAAAATTCTTCATCCCGTAGTTGTAATGAATTATTATTTATTGGTCATTACTAAAATCCTTATTTTGGCGGGCGCCATATTCAGTGAAGCATACTAGTTTACATTAATTGATTTAAAATTTATATTTTAAAAATCAAACAGTCCTCATCTCGCAGATTCCAAACCTTACCCTCTCGTAGAGGTCAAAGGTTTGAATCCTGTAGAAACCTGAAAAGTTTGTCACGATTTCTTTGGGCAAACGCAAATTTGTGTTAGCCTGTTAACGTTCCAGTCGTTTAGATAGTAGAGCACGCGCAGCGTTCAGAGAGCTGTCCAGATGGTGGGGAGCCACGCGGGTAATCTCCCCTGTTTTTTTTTCCACCTCGATTTTTCGCCCGAACGCCTGGCAAGGCTAAAGTTATGTCAATCTATAAATGTGCGCAGCGTCCTTTTTATTTCTGAATCAAGACACTGAAGGTTATCTCAGCAAAAGCGACTGCGAATGGCGGTTGATAGTTTTCAGACACATATGCAAACGAAATCATGGGACGCATTACAAAGGGATTATCGTCTATTGTACGAGTGTACTGTGTTATTCGTGTGCAGTTTTGAATTTTAGCGGCCCGTTTTACCTCTCTTTTGATTTCTCTTTTTGTGTCAGTTAACTTACTGTTGTGACGGGAGACCTGGAAAAAAGGAAAACTTGTCGTAAAATATCCAGTGCTAAGGTCTTCCTTTACAATGAAAAATCTTTTAGCTTGCGTGGCTGACAGTTGGCGCGCGTTTTCGCTTCTCCGACGTTTATTTGTGCCGCCCGGGTTGCGCCTTGTCGCCAAACAAAACCACCAGCTACGCAGGCTAGAAAACTTTGACCAGAGATCAAGTCCATCAGCATCATACGGAATTTATAACTTCACCAGTGACCTCACATGCTGACCATGAGCTTGTATTCGGGTGAAAACAGAGCATAATAACAACATCGTAATTTTGGCGCCATATCCAGTGATCCATGAGACTAGTACATGTTTTCCAGTCTAAACTTACATGTGTAGGAACTCTTTTTGAAGATCAACCCAAAATACTTCATGTTCAGCTGTCATGTAGGCTCTACTGCTAAACATCATGCAAATTTCCTAATGCTTTGAAACCGGATTTTTTCATTTAACAGTTCACGGTCTCGGCTATGGTACTTTATGTTCTACAATCAAAAAGCTACAAAGTACCAAAGGCGACGAAAACCAATGACCTTTGCTTCTTGACATGAGCATGATTCTGTACCGTGAGACGATCGTCCTTTTTTCCTTAGATCCACGCCGGGCCAGAGGAAAAAAAATATGCAAATTGTGGTAAAAAGAATTGAAGGAGAGATTGGGGCGGAGATAGAAAATTTTTTTCTTCCCTCCGCCATCATTCCTCGCAGCTTCGCCGCTCGCCTTTCACGCGTGCTCTCGATTAGTACTGTGACTCAAAAGAAAATTAAGACTATCCTCACGCTGATCTCTGTTCAATTGAAACAATATTTTTTGAAAGTAAAATTATAACTTTTTGATGAGGCCGGGGTTGAATACTGATGTCCCGGGGAACGTAATCGTAGACACATGAGTTGTTTGTGAGGTACAGGGCTACTGACAGGACTATTAAATGGCAACGACTGACTTTTTGAAAACTTGTGTTGTTTGGTAGATAAAAAGTAACACGACAAAGTGGGTTTAGCGTGTTAACAGATCCTCTATTTTCTCCTTAGAGATCCTCAAGCGTGCATATGAAAATGAAAACCGCAAGGTATTTATCGATCACAAGCGCAAGAAGGCGAGGATAGGGAGAGGAGAAAATGTTTCTTTTTCTCGCGCTCCTCTTTCGCATGCAAGTCAAGTACTTCGAAGTAAAAGAAAAAAACGTCTATGGAAACGCTAAAGTGAGCTGGGTCTCGCGTTGATCGTATGCAACTCAATGGTTGTTTACCTCTCTTCCACAGGCCCAGTAGAACAGTACCCTGGGTAACAGAGGCTTTTCTCTCGTGCGGCAGGAATTTTCGGTATTGGCCGAAGGCCGAAACCGCGCTAGAAAAAGTCTCTGGTACAAGGTTAAGCCAGGGAAAAGCGCCCGGGTGACGAGGTTGAGCCACCCCGGGTCGACGCACAGGCCCAGGGCCCTCTTTGTGTGACCCAAGCTAGAGTCCTTAGCTTCTCCCGGGCGAATACTCGGCCAATATTTGGGTACTAGGCAAGCAGCCGCTGAGGGTTTGAAACCCTAGCTCTGTTTTACTCCTAGGACAAAAAAATCCTGAGCAAAAGCAACAACCCTCATAACTTTCAGCGGATTTTGCAGACTTTTCCTATCGCTACTTTTGGGAGGTCGTTACTTACGGAGGGTCGCTACTTTCGGTTAGCGAAAACGTGTACTTTACCTGGGCCGTTTGAAGTTACGGTATACAATTTTTATTTGGGGAAACTTATTACATGTTATTGTTTTGAGTAACATTTCCAGTCTTTGACGAGAGAAAATAATCTATGCGGTCTTTCTATATTTACTATGGCAGCAGTCCGTTCCACAGGAGACTATGACGTGTGGAGACTACAATATTTAAAAAGACTAGGATGCTTGTCAAAATATCCAACAATTATTGAATGAGGCTGAGTACGATGTGAAGATATTATGCAGATTGAGGAGACTGTTATCCACCGAGACCAAAGTCTAATAAAACCTCCAGGCACCAACAACTAGCATAATACATTGCGAAAAACAAGCATACAATTCAAGCAAACTCTTTGAATGGATTACGCAGCTCTGAAAAAAACAAACAAACAAACAAACAAAAACAGCAGTTAGAATGGATACAGAGTGGTAGTGTGGTCTATTTTAAAGTGAGGAATTGCCTAGTTCTCAGACCGAAATGCATTGTTGATCGAGAAGGCCCAGGAAGGCGCCGTGCAGGGACTATTCAAGGTGGGCCTGGGTGTCGTTGTTTCCTTAAGAAGGGAGAACTTTTAAAACATACCTCGAGCAAAACTATATAGTTTTTAAGGTTTATTCATAAGCTGGATAACTTGTTATCCTACCTAATTTGAAAAAGAAGATAGCCAATCAGATAGCTTGCGAACAGCAGACGCATTTCCGGTCGTCAGGGAGAGAAGCGACGACCGGAAATACGTCTGTTGTTCGCAGGCTGGTCAACCGTTTTTTTAAATGGGTGTATCTCGTTCAATATAGGCCCAAAAACTTAAGAATGTTCCTAATCTCAATGTTCTCTTTCTGATTATGTGGGTTTCATGTTGTTTATCCTATAATTAAGGGGCTCGTACCCAGCCCCTCTGGATTTGAAATTAGGCAATTACCTCCAATTCCTTCGTCATTGTTGGGTAAAGATGCACAACATATCCTGACTCCCTACCAAACGATGTCTCACAGTCTTCTTCCTTGTCGCTAAAACGCTTTATAGCCCTGCTGTAATAGTTGTAGTTCAGAAATTCACGCCAGAACAGGCCACTGTCTTTAACTATTATACACGTCAGTTGCAAGCTTATCGTTGCAAGTGAAAGGACTTTGGAATCCTCACAATTGCTTTCGGAATTTTCTCCCATGGCACTCCAGTGGAGTAGTGTACGTCTCCTCCTTATCTATAAATAAACATGGAAAAGGGTATTATAAAATGTTGCCAATGATCGAGGCCAATGATCTGTCAGCAGGAGGCGATCGGCTCCTGTCTGTCAGTGATTCATTGTTTTCAACTAATCAGTCTATTGCTGCCTTTCAAACCATCTCACGCAACTAGCATATGTCGGATATAAAAAAGATATTACACGGGCCCGTGGAGATAAAAAGTTTCTCTTCGAGACAGTTTTAACACAAGATACCTTTCCCCGCAGAGCTTGTGGACCTTGTTTTCACTGTACCCCAGGTGAGTTAGGTCTCTCTTTGATGATCATATTCAACTCTGGTTGTCGTGGTTGTTTACCCGATTGGTTCTCTCTTGTTCACGGGGGCCTCTCTCACGCACTAAATATAAATAAATTTGTATTGTATTTACAGATTTTCCAAAAATTCTGCAACTTGCAGCCGCCATATTCTTACAAACATTTTTGAGCCTAATCGACAGCGCTACCTCCACGCCCTCCCCCCAACCCTCCCCATTCCTTGAATTTCCACGGAGGACTGGTAACTAGAGGAAAAGCTGGTCACTTTTTATCATGATGGCGGATCTAAGGACTTGTGAAAGTTCGGGATGCAACCAGCCTGCTAAACTACAATGCCCAACCTGTATAAAGCTAGGAATTCAAGGCAGTTTCTTCTGTGCTCAGGTAGATTCTTCCATCGATCGTTTTCGTCATTTGTTGGCTCACTGCGTTGTTACATGAGTGGATTTTCGTTTCGCACCATCATCATAAAATTTCCACATTCTGCATCATGACGACATTTTTACTTTCAGTTCTCCACAATTTGCAGCTCTGAATTATATCAGCTGTTTAATCTTATTGCCGATAAAAGGCAGAGTAACTCTTATTTCTTTGCTTGAGACTAACTTTTCATAATATTTTGTAAGATATTCCCTGAAAACTACGCAAACTTCAATGTAAATACTTAATTAAGCCTTTATGACACTTCTGCCGTATGGGTGCATCTACTCTCTCCTTGTTAATTTATTTATGAATCTGCAAAAAATTAAAGGTCATTATTTGTTCCTCTCAAATTTCTCCAGGACCCATGATTATTAGTTTTTGAGCAGAGGGGGGCTTGGAGGTCCTTCACTCAAAATTCTGCTGAGAATTTTGGAAGTCACATGTTAGCATTACCATCATTGCTGGGTTTATGATCATAGGAAAGTTGTTCAACTGCTCCTTTCTTTGACCGGTTAACTGTGTAAGTTAATTAACCCGTATGTCGGGGTACCTAAAAGTGGGTTTAGTCATGATCTCACCCGGGGGTGGGGGTACCAGAATCTTGCTTCTGGGCCTGCCTTAAATTCATTTCCACCCCTAAGAGGAACCAATTCGACAACAACAACAAATTATATGACTGGCATTGCAAATTTTAATAGTAATAAAGGTAGCTTTCTAACACTTTCTTCTCAAGGACTTTTTGAAAATATTGTCATAAATCTGCCCGTCTGCAGAGTGTGGCAGAACTCGATGAGATCTTGCCTGTGTAAGACCGTTTTTAGGCCCTTTTTTCATATAATATTATTTTAAAAACTTGCGTGTGCACCTGCCATTCTTTGCAGACTGGTAAATCTGTATCCTAATAGAGCGTATCTTCTCTGCAGCAGTTATTTTAGGTTTTAGCACCCTAAGCGGTACCAATCCGCAAATTCAAACCACTAAAAGATCCCCTGTCCCCCGGGGATCTCAGACTCACCTGGGCTTTGTTTTAGAGCTTACAAGTACTGTGCTTTAGCTTTGGTAAGTATTCCATGACATCTCTCTAAGATGGGCACTATTGAGAGCAGCATAAGTTTCCATCTTTGATTGGTGTTTTTCTATAGGGAGTAAAAATCAATATAAAGAGTAAAATCAATAAAGAAGACCTACATCTATAAGTAGGCTTTCATTTTTGGATGGAGTCCATCTTACAGTGGTGTCTGACTAGAAAGGCTTGACTGTAAAAATCTCTTTAACTTTCTTAAAATAGGATTGCTTCAAGCAGAACTGGACAGAGCATAAAAGAGTTCACAAGATAGTTAAAGCGGCAGGTAAAGATGAGGAAATACCCTGTGCATCAAAATGTTTTGTCTACAAACGCATAATTCCTTACATACACTGTAATATTAGTTTAAAGCACTTCACTTAAATAATTGCAGTTGACTCCCGATAACCGTAACCCTCGAACTCGAACCTTGTGCTAACTCGAACCAAAATCGATTTCTCCTTGATTTCCTTTGTACAATATTGCTGTAATTTTACCCTTGGTAACTCAAACTTGACTTGGAAAAGGTCACTGCTTTATTAAAAGAGGTTAAAGACATAGTACCAGTATGTCCACTTGAGGGAGTTGTTGGTCTTATGAGAGGCATCTGTTACTAGTGATGGTATGGCGTGATGTAGTAGCTCTTAAAAAGCCTTACAGGATTCGTTTGGAAAACAATTAACAAACAAAGTTAACACTGGAACCAAGCCCTGAAACAAAAAAAGTTAGAGGTTTCAGAGAGCCCTGACACTTCTGTAGGTAGACTGTACTCCTCACAGATCAAAGTAGGATTCAAAACCAAAATTTGGGTTGTAATGACTGAGTTAAAAAGCCAACTACTCCATTAATAGTGGAACTTGAACTTGGGTCGTCAGGATTGTTAGACCAATGCACTGACCAGTCAGCCATACTGCCTTAATTCTTTAGAGACCATCTATCCCAAATTTTACATACTTTTTTTTCCATTTTGTGAAATATATGCCTTTCTCTGGGCTACACCTAGCTTGTGGTAGCTTTTACAGATAATTTTTATTCACATGATGGAATACAGTGGCTTACTTAACTGCCTTTGTCATATCTCTCTAGCTAAAATTGAGGATTCAAAACCGGCTGTCTATAATCCATGGCCAGGATTTAAATTTTCTGGAAAACTTAGGCCTTGGCCTCAGGTAATAAGAGTCAAAGTTGCAGTTTTTAGGTGCATGTTTAGATAGAATTTTTGACTAATTTAGAGACACAGACTGTGCTATTTGTTGAATAGATCATTGAACCTTTTAATACCACAAAGTTCTTGTAAGAAACTTTTTTTGGACTTCACCCACAGCTGTTGTTATAATTTGATAGGCCTTAAACTATGGCAGTGTGATCCTGGATTTATTGATTTTTTTACCAGCAAGCAAAATCTAGGGAACAAAACAAAACTGCTGTGGGAACAGGGCAGGGGACCAAAATGAAGGTGTGGCTTTTAGTGAAACTAGAGGAACTATTCAGCAGATATAATACAGTATTACAGTGTAAATGTAACTGTGTAGTTCCAGAATTTCTCCATACTCCCCCAAATAGGAATTGGAAATACTGTGGCCGGGGAGTGGGGGGTGGTGTATTGCACCATTTTCACTTGGCCAATAAGAATAAAGCTTGTTATTGGAATGTAATCCAGAATGGTCAACGGCCTTAGCAAAAATCCCTTCCGCAGATGAGGCTCATACAAGTAGTTTTTCTGGAACAGCACATAAAATAGAGGCAGGGTTGTCACTAAGATTTCAAGTTGCCGGGTAAATACAACAAGTAGGTGGGGAATCAAACGGCTAGGGATTTCTTTTGCTTCTCTTTTTGTTGTATTTTCCAATGAAAGTAGCCGGGGAAAATCCCCGGTCCCCGGCTCTTAATGACAACCCTGATAGAGGTGTTGAAACAACTAGTTTTAGTTGCTTGATCAGTATATCTTGTTTTTAGGACGTCCAGTAGATAATTTTTTTGTAGCTGCTGACTAAGATTGACCTAAATGTATTATTTAACAATGCATTAACATACTGCGCGCAGGTACAGTCTTTCTGGCAAATGAATTTATAATTTTTTTCTTATCCTTAGTCCCCCAGGCGAGAGGTCCCAGATCACATTGCGAAACCTGACTATGCAGAAACTGGTTTGTACTGTAGAAATTCTTGAAGCATACAATGTAAAATGTAAATGATAATCAGTTTCAGTACTAGTGTTACATCTACTATTTTGTAGGTGTCCCTCTGTCTGAGATCAAGTCCAAACAAAGCACGCAGATAAGAGTCCTCAGTAAAGACGAGATTGAGAAAATGCGTGTAGCTGGCAGAGTAAGATGTTACATAAAACAGTTATTATTTATCATTGTTGCTGATTTTCCCAAGATCATACACTAACACAACATTTCATTCATTACTGTAAGGGCAGTATTGAGCAGGAAGTCTCAGAAAGCCACCTTAAAATAACAATGTTCTTGTTTGTCGTCACCACAAAGGTGTCAATGAGACTGAGAACAAATGTTAATTTTGCCACTAAAGGCATAAGAAGGCTTTCTGACTGTACATGTTCATGATTGTGTAACTGTTAGTAAATAATATTTTATATATATTATTGCTTAGTTGTTTCAATTCCTTTATGTTGTGAAATCAGTCCGTAGAAAGAGCATCTGATAGCTAACATACACTGTACACATAAATAGGGGGGAAAATAAAAGTATGTACTTGAGAAGAGTGTGTTGGGGTTTTTCTCATTGGAAAAAGGTTCACAAGGTTGCTGATTAGGGGAAGTAGTAAACACATATTATTGATCCCAAATACATTGGTTCCTGCTTCTGGCACCACAATAATGTTACGTGACCAATCTATAGGCTGCTGTGCTCTGTGAGCAGAGACTCCTATTTGTCGTCTTCTTGATTGAAGAGGAGAAAGGGAGACTCTGTCTGAATCTTGTGAAGTTGCCAGAGCCTGAACTTCTACACCAGTCAAACTAGTTCTTCAAGTTTGAGCATCCATTAAGTATTGCCAGCTGTAACGAGCACATAGCTGTTAGGTTTAGGTTTAAATTTGTATCCTAGCAACAAGCAGTACCTGGTCAACAGAGATCTTGCTCAATTCATGCCAAGTCTTTCTTGAGTACGCCAAAAACAAGCAAATAAAAGACTTAAGACCGGGTTAGTAAAATTGAAGTGTTTGTTGTTGTTGTTGTTGTTGTTTTGTGTAGTTGGCAAGGGAAGTAATGGACACTGCAGCTAAAAACGTCCGGGTTGGCATCACCACTGATGAACTGGATAAGATTGTTCATGAGGTAGGTACAGATTATAAGTGTGATTTGTCAACTTTTATGTTTTTAATTATTTATTTATTTATTATTTTTAAAACATGGAAGTACCTTACACAGCATAGGCTGGTTTCAGTAGATTCCTGTATTATTACATTAACACTGATTCCTGATGATGAGACGACTGAACATGTACTTGATTCAGAAAAAAAAACTTTAAAAAAATGGACTTGCGTATGTAATTTCTCTAAGCAGGATAACACTTGCCTGAGACTTCTTAATCCCTGACTGACTTAAAATGTGGAAATGCTGGTTTCTGTGAAGGGTGGAAAGCAAAGAACCCTAGAGGAAAACCCTCACAACTGGTGAAAAACCACAACAAACTCAACTCATTGTATAAGAACAAGAGTCTTGAACCCATACCATAGCTAGGAGGAAGACAGCTTATGTGGCAAATACTGCACCTCCCTAGCTTCCCTATAATAGAGAGATTTAGAGTTGTGTTAACAGCAAATGGCAAAGGTCAGATTCAAGCTGAGAATTTCTCAAAATAGAATATAAGCGGATAAAAACAGCTCAAAACAATAATCTTATAGAGAAAACTGGCGTGAAACATCTTATTTTGAGTAGAAGTTATGAACAGTAAACAATAAGAAAAGGGAAAACTTGGTCGCGTAGAACAAACTCAGGGGCACCCAACAACAGTTTTCGGAAAATATCTGTTCGGAAGACGATTTGAGATCTAGAATTTTCGGAACATTTGTTGTAAAATTTCTTTCTTGCCTGCCTCTCCTAGGATTTTCGAACATCTAAATCATGGTATAATTGCCTATTTTTAATGCAATTTTTACCCTAAAAACGCCACCTAGAATTTTCGGGATCCTTTTCTCTGGCTGAAATTTTCGAAAAGGTAAGTTTTGATCCCTATAATTTTCGGATCACTGGACTTTCAGCTAGGAAATCCGAACAGATGAAAAATTTTTAGGGGATGAAAATATGCCTATATCTACCGTTTAAATACTAAAATACGTTTAACAATGCTATGTCTAAGTGGTTTGAACTATATTCTCGTTGGGTGCCCCTGCAAACTCACGTTTGTCTTAAACGTCTCTCTGATTTTGTTATCTTTGACCCTCCACTTGTAGCAAGCAGGTGAAGCTAATTTTTATGTCAAAAATTTTTTCTTTGTTTCAGGCATGTCTTGAAAGAAATTGCTATCCATCACCTCTAAACTACCATGGATTTCCAAAGTCATGTTGCACGTAAGAACTCATTGCAAACAAAATAATTGACAAGTTAGCACTGCAAGTCAGAGGAGAAATTAAGACCTAACAGAATATATCATCAGGAGGATTGCATTAATCAATTTATGACAAAATTCTGAAGAATCAGTGAAAAAGCTCGTTAACTATTTTGTAAAACTAACAGGCAACAGTAAAAGAATGGAAAAGTGCCTGGTAATACAGCAAAGGGTTGATTTATTTGAGGCCTCAAATAAATGTATTCAGCCCTTTGTCATATTACCCGCCTTGCATTCAGTTTTGTTTTAATTCCCACATTAGAGATCTGGCAAGAAAGAACCAGTCGGTTTATTTATGCAATGAGTGGACCTCTGCATTCAAGGGTTTTTAAATCTTGAAAGGACCCCAGGATTTCTTAAGGATTGATAGAGGAGTGGCTGTAAAGCTAATGGTGTTGAAAGATTCCCTAGAATTGCTTCAGTTGTTGAGGGGGGATATTTTTTGTAGCAACTCATAATGTAATGTGTAACAAATCAAACTACTGAGAAATGTATTGAATCATAGGTCTGTTAATGAGGTGATTTGTCATGGCATCCCTGATATGAGGCCTTTAGAGAATGGTGATCTTTTAAACAGTGAGTATGTCTCTTTTTTTTTTTTTCACTCAATCTTCATGTTTGTAATCAGTGCTTATTATGGAAAGAGAGATATATTGAAGATTGTTGTTTTGACTTCACTGGAGAACTGATTTACGTGAGTGGATATATTTTTGTTTTTGTGTGTCATGACGCCATTATTTTGTTTGGTTGCTTTAGTTGACATCACTATCTATTACAATGGGTTTCATGGTGATCTGAATGAGACATTCTTTGTTGGTGAAGTGGATGAAGAAAGTAAGCAGCTGGTGAAAGTGACTTATGAGTGCATCAGTCAGGCCATTGCAGCAGGTATCTTGTGCTGGAAATTCTATACAACATGCATTCACAATTACTTTAAATGAATTTTGTTGAATATGTTTGACAGCATGCTAAGAAAATCATGTTCGATAGCTTGGGGCTGGTAGATTTCGCTATTGGAATATTGAATAGTGTTCTTAACTTGCTCAAAAGGGAGGTGAAGTTTTGGGGGGGAATTCATTACAGAAGAACTGTAGTCAATCCTGTTCATCAATTTTTTTTTCTCAATATATCTTGTAGTTGAGATTCTGTTTGCCCGTAAAGCATTGTTTATCAATCAAACAAACCGCCAAAATATCGATACTTAAGCTAATAAGCAAACGAGGAAAAAAAGCTGTATTTAAAGGCATATTTTTGGGGGTTAATTAATTATTTAGACCTCTTAGTTTTTAGCATTTAATGGCCCAGTTGTCTTTAAGTCACCTGGGTTGCAGTCATGGATAGGATGCAAAACAAATGGCAAAGTTTCCTTTCCAAACGGAAATGAGTTTTAGGTTAGAAAAAGCAATTATTCTGTACTTGGAGATTTAGAGTCTGTAATTAACAGGTAAGTATCGATAATGCAGAAGCGCACATCCCCAATATTTTGTCATTATCCTAGACATTTTCGTACAGTTTTATATTAACTTCTTTTTCCTATCAGGTTAGTCAGTGAATTGATGTTTGGGCTAATACATGGTGCATAAGAAAAAAACTGACTTCCTTTGAACCCTGGTTTGAGATAAAGTGGTCTTAAACTTGAAAGACACTAGCCTCTAAAATATGCCTTACATGGAAATAATATCTTGTTCAAGAGAGATGTATCACCACACTTAAGCTCTTGCCTTGGGCACCCAGAAAATCTTAAATTTTTCATACAAACGTAAAAAAATTATGCTGAATACAGAAAACCTTTGACCTCCCAATCAATTAGAGTTAGTGGAGCTAGCAAAGCCAATTATTTAAGGTGATATATAACAAAAATCCTGCATGTAATCAGGGTGCAAAGAAAGTCAGTTTTACAGCTTGCCATTCGGGCAAGCCGTTGTTAGCATCTACTAACCCAAAAGTCATTTTAACTAGCCCAATTATGGCCAGGGTTGATAACAGTTCTTTTGTGATTAGAATTCCTTAAAAAGAATTTCACTTGCCCTTCGGGCAAGTTAAAGACAGAGTTCACTAGCCCGATAGTAAAATCCACTAGCCTTGGGCTATCGGACATGACTTTCTTTGCACGCTGGTAATATATTGCCAGGGTCAATAATTAATGTCTAATTCCCAATAGTGACCAAGATCAAATTTCTCCAAACAATATCCATACACTGTCAAGAGATAAGTTATGAGAATTAATACAATGATCACACGGGAGAAAATGCCTTGATCTTTTATCAAATTCTCTCAACTCATTCTTTAAGGAAATGTGTAGAGATCAGTTTGGAGAATTTGTATGTGGACACTGGGGCTTAAAGGGTTAAGTGAAGTAATACGTGAGAAAGTTGTGGTAATCATCATGTCAAGCACTGAACAAAGAATGCTTGTCCCTCTTTGTTAAATTACCTCCCCAAACTGCTCCCTTCCATTTCTCTTCACTCTGTAGGTACTGTACGCACTTGTAATCATTTTTATAGTTATGAGAAGTGAGTCCTCAATATTCTCATTCTCTTTTTTCAGTAAAACCTGGAGTAAAGTACAGGGAAGTAGGAAACATTATTCAAAAGCATGCACAGGCTCATGGCTTCTCTGTGGTGAAAAGTTATTGTGGTCATGGAATTCATGAGTAAGTCAGTGAGTTCAGATCTCCTTCCCTCCTCTTCCCTCTCTTCCCCTCCCGTCCTCTCCCCTCTCCTCCCCTCCCCTCCCCTTCTCTCCTCTCATCTCTCTCTGCTTAGCTAAATGCATAATATTATCTGTTGCTTCTTAACAGGTTGTTCCATACTGCACCAAGCGTCCCTCATTATGCAAGTGAGTAATTATTTCGGGACAGTACTGTGCCAATGCTGGACAACAAAGTTACCACACTGGACAAAATAATACCAATACTGGACAACACCGGCAGTAATGGAACTGAAATGTACATAACCAATAGTAAAGAACTCGATATTAATACTTAACGGTTGTAACCAGTACTGTAAAATGTACTATCCATAAGCAACAAAATAGAACAGTTTCTAGACGTCTATGGTACCAATACTGGTACCAATACTGGGTTGTAGACAGTAACTGGAAAGCGCAGTGATTGTTTTTTTTTTCAGTGGAGTTTTTTCACTTTCTTTCAGAAAACAAAGCTGTCGGTGTTATGAAACCCGGACATACCTTTACCATAGAACCTATGATTTCACAAGGTATAGTTGTGTAACTCGTTCTTTTACTTAAACTACTTATAAAAGAAAAAAAGTCGCTTGTGAGGTAAAATGATACCGAGACAAACTGTATCCATTATTTTACTATAGGAACATGGCGAGATGAGATCTGGCCTGATAACTGGACAGCGGTGACACAGGTATGTACAGGCGCGTACGCCCTTTTGATTTGAATTGTGTATTTTGTGACTAGACATGTTCGACAACGCGTGATTATTACACTATAGAGAAAATCAGAAAGGTCAAGTTGTGCAACGGTTACCTTTCAAGTAGTATAATGTAGCGCAACAGAACTGTCATTATGAGAAGGGGGCCGGGGATTTCCCCCGGCGACCGTGAACGTGAAAAGAAAATATAACCAAAAGAAATCCGTAGCAGTTTTATTCCCCACCTACTCTTGATACGTCTGCCCGGTAGCTTAAAATCTTAGTGTCATCCCTACGAAAACTGCCATGTAAAGCACGTCAAGAATAAACAGGGTCGGCAGTTAGCCCGTGATAGGATGAGTATCATAAATCGAATGATGCAGGGTTCAAGACTTACATACGCGGTTTTTTTCCTTCTCTCGTACTTACTACTATAAACCATAACACTTTTTATGTATATTAATTGAAGTTGAGAATCTGATTTTAGAGTATCCATTGTAGTCACAGCCGTTTCGTGTTTGCTGCTAGGATAGCCTTCGCCACAGGCGTTTCCTGGAAGCACGCGATATCCAGGATTCCCCAGGTTTTCCCAGGTTATGGGTCTTAAACGAGTAACGAGGCGGCGGGGAGACGTCTTCTCTCCCCCTTCCCCACTTTTGTTCTTACGCCTTACCAACCCACTGTAATGAAAATCAAAGATGGTGAAGCACGAATGGCCTGTGTACTGGTGTCCCCCTCCTGTTTTTTTTCCTGAAGGGATGGCTGTACGTCACAGAGTGCCCAATGGAGATACTGAGGGCTAGCCTTCACTGCAGGCTTGCTGTTAAGTTGCTAAGTCTGTGTTTTATTTTATTTTCTGTAGGATGGAAAGCGTTCAGCTCAGTTTGAACAGACGCTGCTTGTAACAGAAACTGGCTGTGATATCCTAACCCTTCGCCCTGATGATAACGGACGAGCTCATTTTCTTTCTCAAGTGTAAAATGGACCAGAGTCTTACTTGTCAGAACACCCAAATATTCAAATTCTGAAGAAAGCAAAATTGAGTGCCGCCAAAAGCTGGCCACATTTATAATTCCTCGACTCAACACGCATGAGAGTGTATCATGGTGGAAGAGGCTAAACAATGTCTTATTTTCAAACTACACGCAAGCAATAGACATCAACTAATTAGGATGTTAAACAGCTGGGCCTTTCGAGAGTACCCTGCGAGCAGAGGTTTTTTTCTGGCATGGCTTTTATCATTTACGAAGTCGTTCGTGTCGCTTGTCAGTCGCATAACAACTTTACAAATGCTACAACTTTAAAACCATGCCAGAAAGAAAAATCTTCTCGCTGGGCGTACGCGTAAAAAGTCTTAATGTTATGTGGTAAAATATCCGAAAAAATTACGTTAACATAATTTTCGAACATATATTATTATTACTATTATTATTATCATTGTTATTATTAAAAACGTCTTACTTAGCAGCAATGTATTGACTATACTAGACTGTTTCGCATGTAGTGTTCTAATCTAGGTAGGACAGTAGCACTTCGTTGAGAGAGAGAGAGAGAGAGAGTATTATTTTAAAACTAAGGACAATGAAGGCACAAAAGTACATTACTAAAAGTACTACTACTGAAGATGTTTTTTTAGATGGTCGCACCATTGGATCGCTTCCACAGTTAATCCGCTTTGTAACTAGTAAGCAGTACTTTGGGAATTTAGAGTACTTAAAAGTTGTAACTGCAACGCTTCTCCATAGTTGGTGTTCGTGTCTTTCTTCCGCAGAGGCTCTCATTGATATTTCAAAAATAAAGCAGGAAAAACAAAAGTCAGCGTTGGTTACAAGTAGCTCAAAGAGGCCTCTGCGGAGTAGACTAGGCGATTAAAATTAGTGGATTAAACTTAATGAAACTGTGTCACGAGTTTTATCAAAATTCTAACACCAGGAACTGCTAGCAAACAGTGTTAAATCTAGAATTTAGTCAAAGTGGCTCGTATGTCCCGCATGGCATTTTAAATTGGGCCATTTCAAAAATGGTCTGGGTCAAACTATGATATTGACACTTCGAAAACCTGGCATCATCCAAACTATCATCAGTATGTTATAGTTTTGCTGCCTTTCACAGTTTTGATTTTTTTATTGCAGTAAACAGTCAAGTAATCGTAATGCTCCTAAGCTGAATCGTTATTTTAAAAAAATGACGGACTAATCCTGAATAAAAGATGCCAAAAAACGCCAAACACTTTTTTCATTTTCTCACAGTACTCGTTGAGCTGGAGGCCGTTGGATCTTGAAGTTCTGGAGGTTGACTTAATGTCGAACTGACCTCTTCAGCTTCACCATCCTCATGCAGCCCATCTTCTTCAGTATGTTGATTTTCAGGTTCAACAGTCATTCTCTTTTGCTTTGAAAATACACTAAGCTTTTGCTGTCATTTCATAATGAAACGTAAACACAAGAACAAAGTCAACAAACGAAGCGTTAATCGATCGGTAAAGTAACGTATGCGGAAGTATGCAAAACGTTGAAGTAGGCTCCAGTCTCTCTTGGAATTGCTTGGAACGCCTGACACAAAATGTGCTCATATGCCCGTAGTCTGAAATGCCAGTCATTTCGCGCGCTCATTTCAGGCTAGTAAGCACACATATTTGTTTTAATTTACTTATATTATTGCCTGCTGCTTTGGAAGTACTTATATATGAGGTGACTTGTTTTTTTGGTTTTTGTTTGTTTCTTTTTTTTGCGTCAGCATGACTCTACGATCATTTCATTTTGCGTCAGAATAGAGTATTCCGCGTCAATGACGCAAAAACGCGGCCTAGATTGAACACTGAGCAAATTGAGTTTGGTGAAACACTATAAAAATGAAGACTAAAAACATTATAAAAGAATGCACTAATAACACAGCAATTATAAAGGAAGATTCCGATGGACAAACTTGAAGAAGATTGAAACGGTTGAAAGTGTGGGTTTGTGAAAAATTGTTAGTCCAACAGTTTTTCAAAGTTCATTTTTGTTGTTTTTAAAGTTTGATATAACGCTGGGAAGTGTGTTTTTTGCACAAGAAACTGCGATTTTGTCCTTTACAAGTAATATCTTCGTTAACGTTAAGTTCCATAGCGCATAAGAAAGTGCAATAGATGCAAAATGAACTAGATAATCGTGACACGGCCGTGCCCCTTCAACAGAATTGTTGCAATTAGTTTTTTCTTCCACGTTGACGGTTAGGGGACGAGCTGAAAAAAAGGGCAGCCGATATAGGAGTTTTCCCTTTTCGAAAAGAAATATATTATAACCAAAACATCCAAGAATTGAGCAGGTATCTTTCCATAAAAACTTAATGAAATGAGAAAAGTAAAGTCATTCAGTCAGAGCAAAGGATTCCAATTCAGGGTCTCTTTGCGAGAAAAGCCGTTGTTTAGCACTGCAGGGAAACTCGTGACCCGCTGTTGTGACTGAAAAAATATCTTAACCACGCCGAATGAGGACGTTCTTTTGTAAAACGAAATGGAGTAACAGAATCTCAGTGATGGTATTAGGAATAAATGGAGCGGTCCAATTTGGTTTTAGTCGTACTCATACGAGTGACGGGTATGATTCCAGACAGAATTACTGAAACGACAAGAATCGAAGTACTATTCTCTTATCGTACTAGTTAATCACAACTATAACAATCTTTTTGTGCGAGAAAAACGCAGTTATAGATTCATAGCTGTGATAAATAAAAGGACAAAAGTTTTGTGCTGCATGTGAGGCAAAATAATGAAGAAAACCAATTCTACAGCGCGTGATGACAAGCACTGTCTCGAACTGTCTGATGTTAAAAAATACCCCCAAATCAGGTCTAAGAATTTTGTTATATGTCCAATCGGACTTGCATGTGATTACTCTCTCTAATTGTTGTTCTGAGTTCTGCTACTCCCAGTTGTTAAAAAACCACAAGTAACACTCATCTCAAACATTTGAACTAAAAAGTGCGCTATTCTCCTTTAATAGGCCATTTCCGAGTTCCCCCGGGCCTCTGTTTCAAAACGAGGGTAGGTGCTGAGCCTTTGATATGGAAATCATTTTTCATTCTCATGCAAATAAAACTCATTTTCACAAGAAAGGTTGTGCACCTAGCCTCATTTTGAAAGTGAGGATTTTTGGAACTCGAAAGTGGCCTATATGCCCTATGTAAATCCGGCCTTTTTAAATTCACGTGTCAAGTTGAGTAGCGTATAGCATCATTTTTATTTTCCGTAGTGGCATATTATAGTCAGCCCCCCGCCGTATAAGTACTGATAAAAGTATTTTTTGATTGTTTGCTTTATAATATACTCCTTGAACATAGTGCCTGGTCCTTTAAAGCAGTGCTTGATTTTTTTAAAAAATGCTTTGAATACTTGAGTATCTTTTTCACTGCCAGTGGTTAATCTTCATACACAAAATTAACCTTCCTGAGGACAGGCGACACTGACTCATCCCCCAGCAAAGCCTTTCCTCCACGTCCTCGATTTTGGCTGAGAAAGACTGCACGAATCCCTTCTCGACCCCAGTGCCTACGGCTCTCTCCTCTACATGCGCAGAAGAGCTCTGGGTCGAGATTGGCATGGATCGAGTAAGATCTTTGTTGAGCATGCGCAATATGTTGTTAGGAGACAGTTTCGACCCCAGTCTTAAGCCCTGCGCTAGGTACAGCGGGCTCAGTTACTAGGACCATAGGTCTATAAATAAAGCGATGCTCACACTGGAAAAACAGTTGCCTTGCAGCTCATCAGAACCTCTAATTTAACCCTTTAGGTCCCAAGAGTGACCAACATAAATTTTCTCCTAACAACATCAGCAGATCATCAAGAGTAAAGGTTATGAGAATTACTAAATTGATTACCAAAGGGAGACTGCCTTAATCTTAAACCAAATTCTCTCAACTATTCTTAATAGAAATGTATGAAGATCAGTCTGGAGAATTTGTATGTGGATCTTGAGGCTTTAAGGGTTAATTGGACCCCTATGGGTCGCAGCTCTTTTGTTTGCGGGCTAGGTTCCATGGTAAACTCTGTTTGTTATTTTTTCCCAACTGGTTGCAAGCCAGTTCCGTGAGGTCTTCAGAGAGCTGCAAGATCGCCTGAAAAAAACAAGCGAGATTGACTAGCCTAAAAGTTAGGGCTGCGGCGAATTTCTTAAGCTTGACGCGATTCAGGCAAAGCCTCTTTTTCTGCTCCGTTCAGAGGGTGTCAGACGAAAGCTGAAAAACAGCTTTTTTGTGGATTAGAAGACTTTCATAATTGGTCTATACCGAAAACTTGTATCCTATAATCCAATATAAAAAAGAATTTCCAGTAAACAATTATCTAAAGGGATTTTTATTTTACGGATTAATGTGATACAAGTGTAGCTCTGATATTAGAAGTGCTGTCAAGATCAATTGTAGCAAGTTCGATCACGCCATCTTGGCTACTGATTTTTGGCTCCTTATGACCGTCCGAAAGTTGCCAAATGAAAACTGTCTTTTTTTCGCAGAATCGTGATTGCGGAATAAAAAAGGAAACAGAACAAAATATAAACCGCTCAAATTAAATTAACTTCATGTTGTGCTTTACTAGGTAATTCTGAGTTTCATCTTGCATAGTGATAGCCTTGTAAACTACATAACAGATTATTCACTACACTAAAGCTTTAAAAGCTAAGATAAGAATCAAATTTTTGCTTCAAATTGATAGTTGATAAATTTTCGTACAGAACAGCTTTCTTTTCCCTGCAATGTGAGCTCATCGACAGCTACCGCGTACTATAAACAGTCCTTTCCTCAATGATTTTGTTTTTGCAGTACTTTGGGGGTTTTTCTCGTTGCCGGTGCCTTTTTTTAGGCAACAAAATCCACTTTTTTTAGGAAGCATAGGAGGAGGGTCAAGCAATAAAGATGTAATCCAATCTTTTTTGCTCATTTTTCAAACGTTAAAGTGCACCTGTGAATCTCAGCCGGATGGGAAAATCTGGGCCGCTGGAGTGTGCGCGTCTGTAGCCATTCACAATCAAGAATTTAGGATTCCAGACGCTGAGAAGATTCAGAGAAAAACGCATGAAAGAAACAGTTCTCTATGTACGTTGCTAAACAACCCATCAGAAATGGGCCAAGAGTGATGTGGCAAAAGAAAGTTCAACCTTTGTTACTTTGAATTTCTCAAGGAACATTTACACAATTTCGATTGCAGTAAAAGGAAAACATAATTATCAAAAACCGATCATATTAAGTCAAAATTATTGTATAAATTCGAGTTTTTAATGCTTCATACAGTGATTTGGTCTCGCTTAATAGGCCGCTTTTTATTAAAAAAAAGAAAAAAACAAATCATGATATTTTACTCTCGTACAAATAAAAGAGTCTAGCAAAGCGATTTTAGATTTTGTTTGACTTTTCTATGGCTTAAGCTCACCTACAATATAAGTTTTACAGCTGATAAGTTTTTACAAAGCTACAACTCTCTTGTCCCTTTCTAATGCCCTTTTTTTTTAATCGGGGGAGTTTAATTTCCCTTGCGCAGTGGTCCACCAGCTTCCGCTTCCGCGGAACTTCAGGTTATTCTTTCTTTCCTTTACTGCTTATCAACTCTTTATTTGCTTGTCTGGACAAATGATTTTCTTCTCGGTGATAAAATGCACGTTCCCTTTCAGTTTCAATCGCGAGGTTTTCATTTGTGTAGTTGCTCTGGGTAGCTCTATGAGGTGTAGTATGCTATTAAATCGAAATTGTATAATTTTATGAGAGCTAAGAACCACTGGATAACTGTTCAGCACCTGAGATGATTTGTTGTTTTTCTCATCGCTAATTTTTATTGTTATTTCTTATTCTCAGATGATTTTTTAACAAAGTCAATAACTTATCACAGTCGCTTTGAGAATCTGGTGTTCTAAGTTCGTAAGATGTCCTCCTTAACAATGTTCACGATTTGCCTAATATCCCGTATGTATCGGGCTGAATCCGCGGTTGGACAATGCAAGCCTGTCGAGAGATCAGTATCTGGCAAAGCTCTCAAGGGTCACACATTTAAAGATTATGAAGTAAAAGCGCCTTTTGAATGTCAAAACATCTGTGAAAACGACCCCAGATGTGTAAGTTACAACTATCTCATTCCCACAAGAGTCTGCGAACTGAACAGCAAAACCAAAGAAGACAAACCTGACGATTTTGTTACAGATGAACAAAGATTCTATATGAAACGTGAAGGTATTATAAATTCTTTATTTTACCCCGTAATTATTTTGAAAGCAATTACAGGCAGAATGTAAGAAACTAAAGAGTCAAATGTTTGAGAGAGTTAAAAGAAGGCCTTTCCTTTTTACTAAGAATGGCCATTGGTTTCACAAGGCATAACAACCAACAATAGCAATCATACTATGAGATAGTAAATGGAGGCTTTATGTGAAAGCAAATCAATTCAGAGCAATGGGTACAAAATAAAGTCCATTTTTTCGAGTTCCACAAACTCTCATTTTCAAAACGAGCCTACAGTAAGCGCAAAACCTTTCTTAATGAGTTTTAATGCATGAGAATAGAAAGTTATTTTCATATCAATGGCGTTGCTCTGAGTCTTACCTTGAATTTGAGGCTAGGAACAACTCGGATATAGACCATTTATTTTTAAAAACCATGGCAGAAGTACTAATTTGAGAAGAAAAAAAATGGGTGGAACCTGTTCATTACAACCAGCAACTGACGTAAGATACTGGTAACTCTCCAGTTTATTAAAGCTGGAGGATCAGCCCGCCGGTTTCTATGGAGCTTCGGTGAAAAAACGTATCCTTGAAATTCAATTGGACTCTTTCTTATAACTTAAAGTATCTATTGTTTACCTTTAATAGCTCCAGCAGCAACAACAACAACTGCTCTAGCTGTTCCAGTAACGACAGCACTTGTTCCAATAACAACAACAACGACAACAACTGCAACTACAACAACAACAACAACAACTTCTTCAACTGCAGCAACAACGACAACAACAACAGCAGCAACAACAACCACAGCTCAAGATGATCCAACTGTAACAACAACAACATCAGCTGCTCCAACAACGAATTCCTACAACTTTGAGGTATAAAGCCAAAACGTTACGATTTTTCTCCATACTCCTCTTGCTATTCATGCCCACATTTAAGTCATAAGTCATTTTTAATGATGCGTTCCTAGTGTTCTTCATAGACTCTAAGTTTTTCTATTAATCAACACTTACACTGGCCTTCAGTTTAACTAAAAAATTAAGTGTTTATAGTGTTTTACTGTAATTTAATTTTCTTTTTCTTTTTCACAAAGGAGTCTTGGAACTTTACAACCCCAGAATACCCAGACCACTGGACTCTTATCGCCAGATTTTCCAACAAAGACCAGAAGAACTGGATGCGAGACGATGGACTCTGGTGGTATAACCAAGATTATCCTATAGGTAGTAGGTCTGATCCGTCGGTCAATGCTGACATGATCGCACCAGCCTTCTGGTATCTCAGAGGTAACGAGTTTAAGATCACGCGCAGTGATGACTCCAGTCATACGCCCCTGTTGCAGACCACAGGGAACTGTCTGGGTGGAAAAACATTTCGATCCAAACTCACAAGTTATGGCAACTTTAGAAATGGCAAGGTTTGGTCCAACGACACCTGCCTGGGAAGTTGTTTTGTTCAATATGGTGGTCAGTACAATTCAACAGACGGGTTTCAACAGGCTGGGTGCAGTGGCGAGCTGCAACCCAACAACAAGATCGGCTTCTGGTGTCAATGGAGTAGAGGCGATGGATCAGTGATGATGATTGGTGGAGGAGGAAGTGACTGTTCACGTGCTGATCACGGGATTGGTATTACAGAGGCTAACGAGGCTTCTTTCGTTGAAAATGACAGCGATCCGACTGAATATGATTTTGGATACGACGCTCAGGCAGAAGATACTCCATCCCTGAGCTATGCATTAAACCTGTGGGTCCGTTGGTCCTATTGAATATCGTTAAACACCCAAAACTCAAGTCATCAAGTAATTAGGGAGTTTAAAGGAATGTCGAACTGTAACACACTGACCGTAACTTAAGCTTGGTGCAAACGGACTCAACATTGTTGGCCAAAAACTATCAAGATTGTTGGGAGTTGATGCGTCCGTTTGCACGTAGCTAAAAGTTTGACCGGTTTCAAAGTTTGCGCAACAACTGCCAACGACACACAAAAACATGCAACAGAGTGTGCAAACGGACGCAACATGTAATATCCAACAACTTTCCTTCCGTTTGCGCGGAGCTTTAAAGTACAGAATCCCTTTGCTTAATTCTACCTCGGTCTGATAAATTGCAAACGAGGTCCACTTTTTTCGAATAATTCGTGTTAATTGCTCGCCATGTATAACAACTGAAGAAGTAGATTCCTTGAAATCGCAATAAGCATGTCTTTTTGACCGAAATGACGATTCTTGATAGTGTTGTAAAGTATACTGAGGATATTTTGGGGATCTGTCTAAACTGTCCTTTCGAGTTTCGTGTTTGTTTCATTGAGCGTGTCAAGGTTAGTCAGGATTTTGTCTATGGTGTTTCTTATGAAAACCGGCACTATTTGGATATTTAAGAGTCAGAAGTTTAGTAGTGAGTAGTTTACGTTGGAGTTTTCTGAATAAAGAAGTAATAAGATGTCAAGACGACTCGGTAACTTCTTGCTTAGTGGGCGAGTTGATCGAACACCCCTGCATGTTTTGTTGGAGAACCCGGGTAACGTAAATCAAATGAAGCCCGTTGGTGATCCGAATTTAGAGCCAATAGATTCTCCACCTTTTGATGACCCTGCCGAGCTGTGCATTCATGAGTCTGATATTCCAAAAGGTTGTTTTGAGCCAATTTCTGATGAAGCGAAACCTAAACACGCTGATCTGAGTTAAATCCAGCTGGTAATGACACATTTCCACAACCTCAATAAGAGAAAGTATGAAACAAAGAATCAAGCCTGACTTTTCGGTGGTTGATACTGACTTTAAACGTTAATTTACAACTAATAATTTCCACTTATCTACAGCTATTTTGTGCTTCTTAATGAATATTTTATGTCAGGGGAGCTTAATTTCGCATCCTTTTTGCAGCTCTCATCAACAGCCACTGCTTAACATTTCCGCCACTTCTACGCTACTCTTTTCTTTGTTCTCTTCAAATAACTTCGGTAGATCTGCGAGGTTTCATATATGAAGTAGAAATCCAAGCTCTTGCTCATTTCAAGCACTAAAATAAGTTAATCACCTGGAAGCGGGGTCCCAATGAGAAACTGATCCGAATCACACTGTAGTGCGTGCAATGTAGCCCCTGATCTAAAACCGGAAATTAAGTTTTCCAGACCGCTGAGAAGCATCAGGAAAAAAAAAATTAAAACAAAAACAGTATGTTACTTAACAGTCGACAGAAGAAAACAGAATTCTAGCGAGGTTAGTTAAAACATTCCGTTTTTTTCTTATATATATAGATAAAGAATACCGTTTGGCAAGGGTCGATTGCGGTGTAAAAAGGAAAACATAACAAAGAAACCGATCAAATTAGGTTTTATCATTGTATAAATTCACGATTCAAAACTTCATATAGAGATTACGTAAGCATCAAAAGTCGAAATATTAACAAGGAAACATCAACGACACAACAGCTTACTTTAGGAGACTAAACAAGCTTAGCCGGCTCTAAAGCACTAAATTAAACTCAGAAAAAAAAAAAAATCAGAATTCCGGACCGCTGAGAAGAATGCGCTTTTGTATGAATGTTTCCATTTCATGAATTTAAAACCAGCGGCTTATATATGGGGGCTTCTCCCTCGGTCTTGGGTTGTCGTATGAAGAAACCATCCGCAAAGGAGCTATATTTACCTAAGCAAACTTTTAATTTATGAAATAATGGAATCTGCATTTGATCGATCTATCAATGGTATAAAGTTTGCTTCAAATGTCGCGGTCAAGCTCGGTCAGTAGGGATGAATTACCTTCATTTATAAATACAGTCGACTCCCGATAACTCGAACCTTCAAGGGAAATCGAAAAAAGTTCGAGTTATCGGGAGCTCGAAGAAAATAGCCGAGAGTAAGGTAAAAAACAGGTTTTACTGCACAGTGAACATTTTAATCACATCTAATTGTAGAAATGTCAAGTGAAAATTAAAAGATACTCCTAGATTATGAATCAGAACGTAACGTAACAAACCTTATGGCCTAACTAGAGCATGCGTTTTCTGTTTTGAGAAGTAAAGCTGCTTCACGTTAGCCTGTGACAATCAATATCAGCCTCCACTAGTAAACTATACACCGACAACACGTCAATAGGAAGTCCAAAATTCAGTGTTTCGGACGCCAGTAGACGGCTTTTTTCCCAACTTTTTAAGGGCTCAAAACATGGTTCGAGTTATCGAGGGGAAAATTATATGGAAAATGGCCTGAAGGGAAACGAAAATTGGTTCGAGTTAGCGGGAGTTCGAATTATCGAGGGTTCGAGTTACCGAGGGTAAAATTACAGTGAATGTATGACGGAAATCCAGGGAAAATCGATTTTGGTTCGAGTCTGAGCGCGAGGGTTCGAGTTATCGGGAGTCGACTGTAGCAATCTTGACTGAAGGTCTCAGCCTACTATAACATTGTAAAAATACATTGCACAGTGCTCGAGACTAATCTGAATTTGGACGACCCTTTGAAAAATAAAGAACGCAGTCAAATGAAATAATCTGTTCTTCAAAGTACCAAAGTTGGTTTCACGATCTGGTTTTCCCAGCTCTTAGAATGTCCCTGGCATTGTTTACGATTTGCCTAATATCCCGAATGTATGGAGTTGAGGCCGCGAATGGGCAATGCAAGCCTGTTGAAAGATCAATATCTGGTAAAGCTCTCAAGGGTCACACATTTAAAGAACTTGTGGTAAGAGCCCCCTTTGAATGTCAAAATACCTGTGAAAACGACCCCAGATGTGCAAGCTACAACTACTTCATTCCAGGAAGAGTGTGCGAACTGAACAGCAAAACCAAGGAAGCAAAACCTGACGATTTTGTAACAGATGAACAAAGATTCTATATGAAATGTGAAGGTATGATTAATTGTCATTTTCAGTGTATTCATTACTTAAAAGGAAAGAGCCAACGTTAACAAGGTGTAATCAAAGCTGACAGTGACAAAATTGCAAAAAATTACGACTGATTCCATTGTCTTGTAATTTCCAGAAGATACTTGAACACAAATGAAACCAGAGAAAATATAGACTGTTCAAATACGATCAGAAAGCCTCAAGACATGTTAGAAGTTTGAAACGAAACGACCGATATAAATAAATCTTAAATTAACAAGCCTTCATATTTCGTCAAGGCTCGATTATCAGAGAAAATATGACAAATGATGGCATGCCAAGATGATTGTTACTCTCCCTTAAAGTTTTCTCAGATGATGAAAACTTAGGAACTAGTCCATCGTAAGAAAATCACCAAATGACGTAAGATAAGGACTGAATTAACGTCTGAAAAAGGAGAACATCATAATACAATATCTGACCAGTAACAGTTACCGCCGCAGCAAGCAGCACTCACTTACCGTATTTCCTCGAATAATAGCCTGGGACGATTACATTCTAACTAGAAGTTGTACCCTAAATATTTTGTTCTATTTTCCCATTAAATAAAAAAATAATCACATCAAATATACTGAATAAACATTGGCATTTAAAGTGTTCCTTGATTAATTTTCAAAGTCAATTGTCCTCTGCGTCAGAGCTTGAATCGTCGATCACTGATCAGTTTTGCTTGATTAGATTCCACTTCAGCTTCATCCTCAAAGTTTACCGCTATGGATATCCCTTGCGGGTAACCTAAAGGGGTGGAGGGGGCGAGCGATTATTCGAGGGAGGCGATTATTTTAAACATTTCCGTCAAAGGGGAGGGGGGCGATTAATCGAGCGGCGGCTATTATTCAAGGAAATACGGTATGTCACTGCAACGAAAATTAATTCCCGGCGATGGAAGGTCGGTGAGAAAAAATTTTAATCGACTTTTTTGTGGATCCTCTTTGTATGTAAAGATTTTTTGCTGCTTATCTTTTTCTGAAGAAACAACAGCAAGTTCTCTATTTACCCCAACAACAACGGCAACTGCTCAAGCTTCTCCTACAACAGCAACAATTGTTCCAACTTCAACAATCGCTCAAGCTGCATCAACAACAACGAGAGTGACGAGTGATCTGTCAACAACTGCTCCAACTGCTCCGATAACAACAGTTGTTCCAACTTCGACAATCGCTCAAGCTGCATCAACAACAACGAGAGTGACGAGTGATCTGTCAACAACTGCTCAAACTGCTCCAATAACAACAGTTGTTCCACCTTCAACTATCGCTCAAGCTGCGAGAGCAACGACAACAACTGCTCAAACTTCAACAGCAACAGCAACCACTCCAACAACGAATCCTTACGACTTCAGTGGGGTAAGCCAAGAAGTTACGATTCTTTCTTTCCTTTCAAATATATCTTGACGCTCCTGTTACGTTATTGCTCGCTATTTTTCCATGTCAGAGTGGAGTTGTTCTTATCGCCCCGAGCGGTAAAGGTGTAGTTGCATGGATGCGTGGTAACTCAGCTGCCAGACGCGATTTTTTATTTGCTAAATTAGCTCTCTGCACGCAGGACAGATATTGAAACCAATGTAGAAGTTTAAACTCCATTTGGTGTGCTCTACGACCGTGCGAACTAGAAATAAAACATTGAATGGTTCCGTCTGAACGAGACGTCCCGTCACATTTTTCAGCCAGTAGAAGTAGATTCGTCCGTTGGTGTGTAAAAGTAACCTTAGGCAGGGGTGGATCTAGGATAAATACTGACCGATTTTCTAATTGAGTGCCTAAGGCGCAAGCTATAGGGGGTTCGGTGGCATACAGCCGCCTGGTAAGCTCTGTTGGGAGAGCGCCGGTCTGCTGAGCGGAAGGTCGCGGGTTCAAACGCCGGCCGGACAAATAATCAAGGTCTTTAAATAACTGAGAAGAAAGTGCTGCCTTTGTAATGACATCTACAAATGGTTAGACTTTCTAGTTTTTTCGGATAAGGATGAAAAACCGTAGGTCCCGTCTCACAGCACTTTCACTGATCTGTTCTTGTGGGACGTAAAAGAACCCAAACCACTGTTCCAAAAGAGTAATGGACGCAGACCCAGGTGGTGTGGCCAAAGTCGTTGCTTAAAAAGTTCCCTGAAGTCAATTTTGAAAGCCGAGCTGACGAGACGTTACCCAACTCGACCCAGGCTTTCGACTTTCAGGCTAAAAGACCATTGCACTACTGACAAAGCTAGACAAAGGCAGTTCATGAGCGACTAAAGGTCATGTTACACGGGACGATTTGAAATGTGACGACGATTTTAAGCGCAACACAGTTTCGAATAGCTGCAACATTGTTCCTTTATTGCAACACTGTGTTCCGCTAAAAAGCGTCGTTGCAAACCGTCCCGTGTAACGTCACCTTAAGATAACACTTAGCTAGAGTTTCATGGAACCCAGGGTGAAATTATGGCTATTCCGCAGTCGTAGTCGTGTAATCGTTGCCACGGTATTTGTCGTTGAATTACATGAATACTATCTTTCCCTTTGACAATTCAGAATCAGAATAATTCCATGTTCAAAACAAGCTAAAACATGCTTACCTCCGTCGATGTTAACCAGTGCATGTTGATCGGGAAGTTTAGGATATAAAGGGCTGTTTAGGTCCGCAAACATACTCCAAATAGCAGATGTCGTCCGTCCAGTTGTCTTCTTGTGGTTCTAGCTATGTCTGTAGAAAACGTTCGCCGTGAAACGAGTAAAATGTTCCTCCATTACTCACTTCGAAAACAACTCAAACGCGTCCCCAGGTTTTCTCGGTTAACGGTTGAATAAACTGCAACTTTGCTGCACTTTTGACGTCATCCGTTCAATTGGGGAGCAGGGTTGGTGTAGTGGTGAGAGCGCTCGCCTTCCACCAATGTGTCCCGGGTTCGATTCCCGGACCCGGCGTCATATGTGGGCTGAGTTTGTTGGTTCTCTACTCTGCTCCGAGAGGTTTTTCTCCGGGAACTCCGGTTTTCCCCTCTCCTCAAAAACCAACATTTGATTTGATTTGATTTATTTGATTTACAGTCTCCCCAATTAGTACAGCACTCGTGCTCGGCTAGAATGATTTGAGACTCAAATAAAGTTATTATTATTATTATTATTATTATATGGGAAAGTTCTTCCAAACTGGATCAACAGCAACTGGTTTTGATAAATTATGCGTGTGATTTTAGCTAATCAGAAACGGAGAAATATTTTAAATGAATAATAATTACTATTATCGATTGTTTTAATAGATTCTATTTTTCTGATTTTATTTTTGTGTGTTTTAATCACGGTAGGAGTATAGGAAGCAAAATATTAAGAGGCAGAAACTACTTCTGAATTTTTTATTCGTTTGAGCTCCAATTTTGCACGATGGTAGAACTTTGTAGTCCAAAAAATCCTGGGTTTTTGTTTTTCGATTTTAACGTTTTTTGGCGGGAAAATGACTTTACAAGATTGACCGCAAAATATAAATTTCAAGCTATGGAAAAACAAATAAATAATTTTGAAAGAGCGTGACGTGATAGAAAGAAATGTGAAAAGAATTTTGGAAAAGTTCAATTGCTTTAGGAGATATAGCATCGTGAAATGTACTTATGTTTCTAAAAATAGTAACAAAATGGCGGGAAATTAAAAAATCAAAGCCTCACAAGTCTTTAACCAATTGAGTCTTTGAAAAAAAAAATTCACATTCTATTCTATCGCGTTCTGCTTTTTTAAAATTTTTTATTTGTTTTGCTATATCTTGAAATTTTAATTTTGCTGTTAATCTTGAGGCGTCATTTTCCCGCCAAAAAACGTTAAAATCAAAAAACAAAAAACATAGGAGTTTTTGGAATACAAAATTCTACCATCCTGCAGAGTTTAAGCTCAAAAAAAAAATGCAGAAGTTTTCCTACCTCGTAATATTTTGCGTCCTATACGAACAACCGCGAATTAAGTTTTACTTAGTCTTTTTTTTTTCCATTCAACTGAAAAAGACTATAATTTCTTTTCCACAAATCAGGCTTGGGAGAACTTTACAATCCCAGAAAATCCAGGGGGCGCATGGATTCTTATCGCCAGATTTTCCAACAGTGACGATAAGAACTGGATGCGAGACGATGGACACTGGTGGTATGACCAAAATGTCCCCATAGGAACACCTGATCCGTCAGTCAATGCTGACATGATCTCACCAGCCTTCTGGTTGGCCAGCGGCAACGATTTTAAGATCACTCGTAGTGATGACTCCAGTCACATGCCACTTTTGCGGACTACAGATAACTGTCTGGGTGGACAAACATTCCGCTCAAAAATCACAAGTTATGGCGACTTTAGAAACGGCACGGTGTGGTCCAATGACACATGCCTGGGAAGATGCACGATTCAGTATGCTGGTCAGTACTATTCAACAGACGGGTTTGATCTGGCTGGGTGCGGTGGTGATCTGCAACCCAACAACAAGATCGGCTTCTGGTGTCACTGGGGTTTTGGTGATGGGTCCGTCATGATGATTGGTGGAGGAGGAGAGTACTGTGCACGTGCTGATCACGGGATTGGAATAACAGAAGCTAACTATGCTTCTTTTGTTGAACAAAGCAGCACTCAAACTGAATATGATTTTGGATACGATGCTAAGGTACAAAATGCTCCAACCCATAGCTACGCTTTAAACCTATGGATCCTTTGGTCCCACTAGATATCAAGTTGTAACGTGCTTTAAGTTGCATCTTGCATTTTCTTTTTGCTCTCTGGTTGGTCTGATAAACAGCAAACAAGGTTCACGTTTTGTCGAATAGTACTTGTAAGGTATTTATATCAATTTCTACTTTGCTTATGAAGTACAAGAACCGCAAGCGCGGAGGTTTAGATATTAAGGATAGTTCGTAGGATTTTGTAGAACTCTTTTGTTTACTATAGCATATAAAAACTCCACAATCAGAAAAGCTTTTTAAGGATTTAAACTTGCTAGCCATACCATTCCATTTTAAAGCCCCACGTTTTACTTTTCGAAGACTCTGCCTTAAAAACAGTGCAAAATAGCAAGAAGTAAACAAAAGAAGACAATTGAATTAGCGCAAAATAGTGCGTAGTATAAGACTACTACCTGTTTCACGAGTTATTAGTAAAATCCCTCCGCTATCATAACAGAAAGCCATTCTAGGTGGGTACATTTTAACTTTTTCCGATTCACTGCTGCGATTTGGCTTAATAGACCTTAATACTCCGTCGCTTTGTTGTTAAAAGTTTTGAATGATCCCAGTCAGATGATCACATTCGTCGTACTCTCACATTGACATGGTACTACTGTGTTGTCTCGTTGTCAGTCTAACAGGGTCCCTTCCCCTCTTTAATTCTCTGCTCGATGCATTTTCACAGGCACAAGATTAGTTTCGTATCCCCATTCCAGACATAAAGTGATACGAACCCAGTTTAAGAGTTGGAACCTGAAGTGAAATAGCGGATCTATCCTCTTGTGTTTAGTCACGAAGAAAGACTCAGGATAATTTGTTTATGGCCAGGTAAAACAATCAAAAGAAGCTTATGTGTTGTAAAAATTAGAATCCAACTGAGTCCAAGGCGTATGTGATACGACCGGTCGCCAGAAACAGGAGGTTTTGAAGTTTTTTCTAAAATCAGTAGCAAAGAAATGTATGTTAACTTGCTGCTATCGATTGATCGTCATAAACAAGAGGTTTTGACGTGAAATAAGTAGAAAGGATATAATTTAACTTGCTGCGTCCTTATGTTTAACAAAGATTAAGTCGTGTTTAGTTGAAACACAGTTGAAAAGCCGGTTTATTTGATACCTGCCTCACTCCCTAGATCAGTGCCAAAGTTTCTCTGATAGTATCAGCCAACATATATTTTCCTCTGGAATTTTAATTTTACACTACTGATATTATTATATTCACACTGTTGATAATAAAGTTCAGAATATAAGGTGCAAACTAAAGCTGTCAAGCCATCGGCCAAAAGTTTGGCACGGTTCAGACGCCAAATTTTTCTATGAGCCGAACCTAATTCGAATTAAGGCCGACCCAAATTATTAAGACCGGCTGAATTTCGGTCAAACTGCGTACAAAATGCGTTATAATAATTTATGCTTTAGGCTCGGTACATGAAAAGTTCGGCGTCTGAATCAAAGCCGCTCCAAAGTCGCTCCAAAGGCGAAATCCCCGGCAGGGCTAGGCGAAAAGAACGGCTGAGCCGTCCCAAATTGAAAGAGGCGTTCCTAATTGATTCAGACACCGAACTTCTCATGTACTTAATTCAACGTATTAGGTTCGGCTCATGAAAAGTTCGGCGTCTGAACCGGGCCTAAAGCAATCCGCGGGGAATTTAACGGATTCTGTATCATAAAAGAAATTATTATCCATTTAAAATATTTCCCCGATTCTGATTGGCTAAAAGCACACGCATAATTAACCATAACCAGCTACTGACGACCAAATTTGGAAAAATTTTGAACTTAATGAACTGATGACGTCAAAAGTGCAGCGTTCTTGCATGTTAATGGACCGTTAACCGAGAAGACCTAGGGACGAGGTTGTGTTATTTTTGGCAGACAAACATGCGAAATGGCTGCGAGTAGGTTTATAAGTTTGAGCGAAGAAATTACCCAGTTACTTAACGATAAAGACAGTGAGAATACCAATTAAAAGTTGACGAGACACCATCGCTTAATTTTTGAGTCGTACCTCAAGAAGAAAAACATCACAAATCCTTCAACTGCAGTGGATTTAGCGTCAGTTCAACGAACGTTTTACGTCGCGGCGAGAAAGAAAGATGGACAGATGTACTCAGGACCTCCCTTTGTTCCATCAGATTTGCTTTGTGTAGACACTTCAAACAAGAACTAAATATAGACATTATAAAGGATATGGAATTTAACGAAGCCAACCGAGTATATTCAAGGCCGACCCAGATCCTGGTCGGATGAGTCGCTGTACGGTGTTGCCTATGCTAAGAAAAGAAAAACGTATCTGGAATTTACATATTTTGGTGGAGAGCCCGGGTAACGCAAATCAAATGAAGCGTGCCGATTTTAATTGTTCATCTCTCCACCTTTGGATGACCCTGCCGAGCTGTGCATTCATGAGTCTGATATTCCAAATGAGTGTTTTGAGCCAATTTTTGATGAAGCGAAACCTAAACACGTTGAATTACATCCAGCTACCCTGAGGTTTCTCTTTTGCATGGCTTTTAGCGTTTACGAAGTAATTCGCGTGGCTTGTCTGTCGCGTAGTTGGTTTGTTTACTCTTCGTGAGAAACCTGTGCTGAGAAATAGTTTGGATAAAGCGATTTTGAAAATCATCCACGTTTCGTTTTCCGGAAATCATTAACCATCCACTTGTTCGGAAATGGGGCGAGTAAAATTCGTTTTGAGTCAGCGTAAATTTTTTTTCAGGTGATAAAATTTACGTCATTATCTCTACAGCAACGAATTATTAATCTGGTGCATGTTCAACGGAAATCACAAGCGGCTTGCTGCAGAGGTTTCTCACGGCGAGTAAACAAACCAACTACGCGACAGACAGCAGCTGAGACAAGCCACGCGAATGACTTCGAAACGCTAAAAACCATGCAAGAGAAAAACCTCTGCTCGCAGGGTACATTCAGCTGTCAATGAAACATTTCGACAGCCTCAGTAAGAAAAAGAATCAAACAAAGAATCATGCCTGACTTTTCGGTGGCTGATACTGACCTTTAACGTTAATTTGCAACTAAATAATAATTTCCACTTATCTACAGCTATTTTGTACTTCTTAATGCCTATTTTTATGTCAGGGGTGCGAAATTTCTCGTCCTTTTTGTAGCTCTCATCGACAGCCACTGTGAAACTTCTCCGCCACTTCTACGCTACCCTTTCCATTGTTCTCGTCAAATAACTTTTTCTATTTAATAAAATCCACTTTCTTTTCGATAAATCGGCGAGGGTTCGTATATGAGATGGAAATCCAAATTCTTGCTCATTTCAAACACTAAAATAAGTCAATCACCTGGAACTGCGGGGTCCCAATGAGAAACAGATCCGGACCACTGGGGTGCGTGCAATGTAGCCCCTGATTAGCCCTGATTTAAAACCAGAAATTAAGGTTACCAGACCGCTTAGAAGCATCAGGAAAAAAAAACAAGAACAAACACAGCATGTTACTTAACAGTCGACAGAAGAAAACAGAATTCTAGAAAGGTAAGTTAAAACATTCTGTTTGGTTTCTCAGAGTACCTTTCAGAAAGGGTCGATTGCACTGAAAAAAAGAAAACAATTTAAAGAAACCGATCAAATTAGGTTTTATCATTGTATAAATTCAGGATTGAAAAACTTCACATAGAGATTACGAAAGTATCAAAAGTCGAGCTATTAACAAGGAAACATCAACGGCACATCAGCTTACTTTAGAGGACTTAAAAAGCTTAGCCGGCTGTAAAGTACTAAACTTAGAAAAAAGATCAGAATTCCGGACCGCTGAGAAGACTGTACCTTTCAATTGTATCATGTTTGCATTTCATGAATTTAAAATCAGCGGCTTAAATAACGAGATGGCTTAACTCTCGCTTGGTCTTGGGTTGTCGGATGAAGAAACCATCCGCAAAGGAACTATATTTACCTAAGCAAACTTTTAATTTATATAATAATAAAAACTGGATTTGATCTATCAATGGTATAAAGTTTGCTTCAAATATCGCGGTCAGTAATTACCTTCATTATAAATAGCAATCTTGACTTCAGGTCGCAGCATACTATAAGATTATAAAAATACATGTACAGTACTTGAGACTAATCTGAATTTGGATCGGACGACCCTTCCAGAAATTAAAGAACACAGTCAAATGAAACATAAACAATATGCGTAGTTACGAATGGCTTCCTGAGCCTTCAAATTCCGTCTTGCACTAAAGAAAATTTCTTTCCAAGACTAAAAACTAACGCAGCGTTAGAGTGCCATTTTGGATCGTGCTAAGCAGGTTGACCCTACAACCTACATGTCACATCATTCAGTCCAAACTGGCGGCAAATTCAGGTGGCCGGGAAGTTTTAATTACTATGTTTGACTGAGTGGTTATCCAACTACTTGAGTTTCCAGCCAATATGCACGGAATGTTGTCACTCAGGCTAACAAGGTCCAGCTGCGAGGCATGACTCGAAATTGCGACTTACCGTGATGTATTTTTACAATAGATTTGAATGCAGTGGAACGGTTGGTAAATAAAAAGAATTTACATCTTTGTACTTGTGAATAGAAATTTGTCTAACTGGTCAACACCTGAGACATTGTTTTGCTTTTGTTTTGTTTTGTTTTGTTTTTTTGTCATTGTCTAGCAGGTGATTTCTTGAATCAGAGTAGTAGGATGTCCCTGGCATTGTTTACGATTTGCTTAATATCCCGGATGTATGGAGCTGAGGCCGCGAATGGGCAATGCAAGCCTGTTGAAAGATCAGTATCTGGTAAAACTCTCAGGGGTCACACATTTAAAGAACTTGTAGTAAAAGCGCCTTTTGAATGTCAAAATATCTGTGAAAACGACCCCAGATGTGCAAGCTACAACTACTTCATTCCAGGAAGAGTGTGCGAGCTTAACAGCAAAACCAAGGAGGCAAAACCCGACGATTTTGTGACAGATGAACAAAGATTCTATATGAAACGTGAAAGTACGATTAATTGTCATTTTCAGTTTATTAGTGTTAGTTAAAAGGAGAGAGCCTACGTTTACAAGGCGTAGTCAAACCTGACTTGGGGACAAAATTGCAAAAATTTACGACTTATTCCATTGTCACGTAATTTCAAGATCAGGAGATACTTGAACACAAAAGAAATTAGAGGAAATGTAAACTGTTCAAATATGAGCAGAAAGTCTTGATGCTTGTTACAATTTTGATTTATTGAACTACGAAAAGACCGATATTAATTAATCTTAAATTAACAAGCGGTATGTGAGCACAAATTAATTATAACTTTTTATCGTGACCCCCAGAGAAATGGTTCTTTCAAATATCGCCCTTATACATATGTATGTTTATGGAAAGAATGGTAAAATTAATTACGTGGTCTGAATTGAGAAATCTAGACATAAAAGGCTGAGATGGATGGTGGAGCCTTTTCATTAGAGCTATTAATGCAAGGCTCCATATTTTTTCAAGGATCGATTACGAGAGAAAATTTGAGAAATGATAACATGCGAAGATGATTGCTACTTTAGCCCTAAGTTCTCCTAGATGATAATAATTTAGTAACTGATCCATCTCAAGAAAATTACCAAATGACGGAAAAGATAAGGCCGAACTGAAATAACGACTAAAAACCAAACCACTGCACCTGATAGCCAACTAGTAACACAGTTTTCGAAGCAGCAAGACGGCACTCACTTCTTATTTGGCGGCGATGAATTTTAATAAAGGTTCCCCTATATGGGACTACACGCCCATCCCAATGAACCGTTAGTGAGAACAAAATGTCTGATCGACCTTTTTTTGAACTCTTTTTGTAAGTAACTTTTTTTTGTCGGTTATACTTAGCTCAAGAAACAACAGTGAGTTCTCTATTTACCCCAACGACAACAACAACAACAGTTGTTCCAACTTCAACTATCGCTCAAGCTGCTTCAACAACAACAAGAGCGACGACGACAACTGCTCAAACGGCTCCAATAACAACAATTGTTCCATCTACAACAACCGCTCAAGCTGCTTTAACAACAACAAGAGCGACGACAGCAACTGCTCAAACTGCTCCAATAACAACAGTTGTTGCTACTTCAACAATCGCTCAAGCTACTTCAACAACTAGAGCGACGACAACAATTGCTCAAACTTTAACAGCAACAACAACTGCTTCAACAATAAACACTTACGACTTCAGTGGGGTAAGCCAAGAAGCTACTAGTCATTCTTTCCTTTCAAATATATCTTGTCGCTCCGATTATTGTCCGCTATTTTTCATGAGGGTGGAGTTGTTCTTATTGCCCCGTACGGCAAATTAAGGTGTGGTTGCATGGATACGCGGTAACTCAGATGGGAGATGCCTTTTTTTATTAGTGCTAAAGTAGCTCGCTGTACACGGGACAGATAGTGAAACCAACTAATGAAGAAAGTTTAAACTCGATCTGATGCCCCACGTCCGTGTGAACTAGAGCGGAAACATTGAATGGTTCCGTGTGAACGAGATGTCCCGTCAAATTTTTCAGCCAGTCGAAACAGATCTGTCCGTTACTGTGTAAACGTAGCCTTAGCCTTTAGGTTATGTTTACACTATACAGGATAGGTTTTGCTCTGGTACGAAAACGATACTCTAAAGGGCTTCTGTTCACACACAAGAACGATGATATCGGCTCGATTTCTGTGACGGAGCGAAGCTGCACAGCGCCGATTTCCAAAGCGGAGAGTCACATATCGGATAGGTGTTCATACTGTACCGGATAGATTTTGCTCCGGTACCAAAACCATATCCTAGGATGGGGCTTGTGTTCATACATAACAACAGTGGTATCGGCGCTATTTCTGTGACGGAGCGAAGCGGCACCGCGTCGATCTGTAAAGCGGAGAGTCACATATTGGATGGGTGTTCATACTATAATACCGGCACGAGAACTATCCGGTATAGTACAAGTGTGATCATAGCCTTAGGCGGTTTAGCATGTGCATCACGCATTTTCGAACATTTTATTCCCGTCATTGCACGACCACAACTTGCGGCATGACCGACACTTCTTGTTAACACAAACGATTTTCTTTCTTCTTTTAAACTTAGAATCAGTCCTTTAGAATTAAACTCAGAAAAATTCAACAACATTTGACATAATATCGTTCGAAAAGGAATAAGAGCGAAGAATTTTGGAACAGAATTTTAAGTGACGTTTTCACCACCTTTGTCGTCGTCGTTCCTCGTTAAGTTCCCTGAAGTCAATTTTGAAAGCCGAGCAGACGAGACGTTACCCACCTCGACCCAGGCTCCTGACGTTGCTGTCACCTATACTTTCGGGCAACCCTTGCTTTAAGTTTGTCTTTAAAGACCATTGCGCCACTGACAAGGCTCGAGCTGTCTTCTTCCTGTTCTTGCTATATTTGTAGACAATAGTTCGCCGTGAAACGAGTAAAATGTTCCACCATTACTCACTTCGAAAACAACTCAAACTCGTGTTAGGTCAGGTCAGGTCCCCAGGTTTTCTCGGTTAGCAGTTCAATAATCTGCAGCCGTCGGCTTGGCTTCACTTTTGACGTCATCCGTTCAATTCTCCCAAATTTGATAGCTGGTTATGATAAATTATGGGTGTGATTTTAACCAATCAGAAACGGAGAAATATTTTGAATGAATAATAATTGCTATTATCGAGTGTTTTCTTAGATTCTATTTTTCTGATTTTATTTTGTCTGTGTGTTTGAAAGACGTTTTACTTAGTTTAATCCCCTTCTACTGAAAATGGCTATAATTTCTTTTCCACAAATCAGGCTTGGGAGAACTTTACAATCCCAGAATACCCAGGGAGCACATGGATTCTTATCGCCAGATTTTCCAACAGTGACAATAAGAACTGGATGCGAGACGATGGACACTGGTGGTATGACCAAAATGTCCCCATAGGAACACCTGATCCGTCAGTCAATGCTGACATGATCTCACCAGCTTTCTGGTTGGCCAGCGGCAACGATTTTAAGATCACGCGTAGTGATGACTCCAGCCACATGCCACTATTGCGGACTAAAAATAACTGTCTGGGTGGACAAACATTCCGCTCAAAAATCACAAGTTATGGCGACTTTAGAAACGGCACGGTGTGGTCCAACGACGCATGCCTGGGAAGATGCATGATTCAGTATGCTGGTCAGTACTATTCAACAGACGGGTTTGATCTGGCTCGGTGCGATGGTGATCTGCAAGCCAGCAACAAGATCGGCTTCTGGTGCCACTGGGGTACTGGTGATGGGTCCGTCCTGATGATTGGTGGAGGAGGAGATTTCTGTTCACGTGCTGATCACGGGATTGGAATAACAGAAACTAACTATGCTTCTTTTGTTGAAGAAAGCAGCTTCGAAACTGAATTTGATTTTGGATTCGATGCTGAAGCACAATATGCTCCAACCCAGAGCTACGCTTTAAACCTATGGATCCTTTGATCCCATTAAATATCGCTAATACAGCCAAACACAAGTTAAAAGTGACTTAGCGAGCGAAAAGGAATGTCAAGTTGTAACGTACTGTAAGTTATGTCTGATATAAGCATTTTCTTTTTGCTCTCTGGTTGGTCTGATACAGCAAACAAGCTTCACTTCTTGTGGAATAGTGCTTGTAAGGTATTTATATCAATTTCTAGTTTGCTTACAAAGTACAAGAATTGCAGGCGTAGAGTTGTAGATATTGTTTGTAGGATTTTGTGGCATTCTTTTGTTTACTGCTGTCAATAAAAACTCCAAAATTAGAAAAGCTTTGTAAGGATTTAAACTTGCTAGCCAGACCATTCCATTTTAAAGCCCCACGTTTTACTTTTCGAAGCCTCTGCCTTAAAAACAATGCAAAATCGCAAGAGGTAAACAAAAGAAGACAATTGAATTAGCGCAAAATAGTGCGTAGTATAAGACTACTACCTGTCAATTTTTTCGATTTTTCTTTCTGCTACTTTGCAGGACCACGGTTTGTTGAGATCCAGAAATTTTGCTACCATGGCAACATGTCGTAACGAGTTTCTCCTCTCCATAGAAATCACACAATAACAAGTTTAACCTCGGTTTGAAGTTTTCAGAGTTTTCCCATAGTGCCATGGGGACATGTAGCCCCTGGGTACAATGACCTGTGTTTGATCGACACTGTATGTTTCCGCCGCTTGCTTTAGTTGCTGTGTTACAGGATTATTACGAGGTTTTTTTTTTCGCGCGTAGTAATTGAGCATCCTTGAAGCATTCAGTCACGAATAAAGGACTCAGGATCATGTGTTTATGGCCAAGTCAAACAATCAAAAGAAGCTCAAGTGTTGTTAAAATTATAATCCAAATGAGTTTAAGGCGTATGTTATACGACCGATCGCTAGAAACAGGAGGTCTTGAAGGTTTTCTAAAACCGGTCGCAAAGAAATATTTTAACTTGCTGCAATCGATTGATCGTCATAAAGAAGAGGTTTTGACGTGAAATCAGTAGAAAGGAAATAATTTAACTTGCTGCGTCCTTACGTTTAGAGGCTCATAAAAGTCGTGTTTTGTTAAAACACAAAAGGCAGGTTTATTCGATTCCTGCCTCACTTCCTAGATCAGTGCCAAAGTTTCTCTTTGATAGTATCAGCCAACGTTTTTTTCCTCTCGAATTTTACGGTACTGATATTATCATATTAAAAAAGGCCATAATAAAGTTTAGTTATAACGCGCACTCCGATCGGTTGAAAAAACGTGCTTCAATTCAGAGTATAAAAAACGGAATTAAAGCTGTCATGCAGCCTGCCAAAAGTTTCTTTTAAAAATTAGAAAGCCTGTACATTCACTACAGCGGAAATTTGCACAGTCAAGTCTTCTTTATTTGTTGTAGAAATGGCCTGTAAGTTCTTTCAAATTTACCCTTAGGACAGCGTGGTGATATGGGCCTAATTCAAAAAAACACACATCACTATTATCTTTGTTATGCTAAAAATGTTTAGCCAGCAGCTTGCACAGCAAGTGAATAACGATTCACCTTGTTTAATCAGTTTGTTTAATTACAACATGTGTTGATTAAATAAATCAGCTTAAACTAACACTAAAAATTTGGGATGTTTGCCAAACGTTTTTCATAAGACGTAATAAAAATAAATTTGCATAGTTTGCACAATATATGTCCGTGGTTAGGGGTTTGCCATGAAATAATATTTTTTTAAAATGTTTCCTGTCTGTAGAGGGTCTCCCTCGGCTATATTGACAACATTACACCCTAATTATGTTTTAATTTATCTGTCTTTCTCACATCACTTTCGAAGAACAAAAATGATTCCCTCGCAATTTTATTTAGTTTAGTTTTAATAAAATGAGATGTAACAAACTTTAAAACACGTCAATCAAGTTTCGATTATCGACTTTTGCTAAGTGATGTCTAAGAACGCAATGTACATTCTTCATGATTATAAATGAAAACTTCATAATCAAAATCTCACGTACACCACCACTTTAAACTTTTAGTTCGGAAAGTCTCGTGTAACATGCTTTTTTCTCTCATCATTTGTTGCATAGCTGCGACGGTAATTGCAGCAGACGAAAACTACAGATCTGGCTACTTTATAATAAGGGAAAACAAGTATTTTGCAGGTCAAGTTGCTAAAGAAACTAATTCGCCCAGTCTCACGTCATGCGTTCAGGAGTGTTTAAGACACCCCTGGTGTAACTCTATCAACTTTAAAGAGGCCTTCCTTGAAAAAAGTAGCAGTGGAAATTGTGAACTAAACAAGCACGACTTCTCTGCAATAAACTTTGATTCCGGAAAGCTTACTCAACAACTAGGCACTACCTTTACAATGTTCCTTAAGGTAAGAAAATCCACAACGTTGCCTTGGTCAATGTGTAAAAAAACCGTTACTTTCAGTCTTCGTCCCTTAGGCCTAGTTAAAAAAATCCCGTAAAATGGGCTAAAAATCTATGGGAAATTCTAAAAATGTGTATAAATCCCAATTTTATCTCTAAAACTCTCGAAATTTATTCTGAAAATCCCGATTTATCCCAATTTTTTTTTTCCAAATGTAATCACAAAATTTGCATAAAATGCGGGATTCTTGTGACCTGTGAAATTTGACCACAGGTCCTCGGTCAAATTGCCTGCAAACACCTTAAAACGATTCCAAATGATTATTTATTTACTAAACAATGTAGTGGTTTGTCTCGTGAAATGTCAATAGTTCGACAATTCATGTGGCATGACCGAGGCCAATTGCAAAAACATGACAACTGTATTTTTCTAAACATTATATTATCGTCTAAAATTCCTAAATTTTCTTAAAATTTTCTAAAAATCCCAAGTGACTCTAAAAATCCTAAAAAAAATCCGGATTTTTGTAACTAGGCTTATTGTCCCTTTCTTCTCTCTTGATAGTTTGGGGTTTGAGAGATACGGTCATAAGATAATGTAGCTTTGGTGGCATAGCAAGCCAATCATGAATTACTTTCATATAATTTAACCGCTAATTCATCATATCCACCACCATCCCAATCCTACTCATTAAACTTATGGATCCGCTGACTGGCAGCAAGGCCCAAACCAGTTCCATATATTCTTAGCCGGATTATATTTGATACTATAAACAAACGTCCCAACTTTCAAAATAGATGAAAAAAAACAGATAAGGTATATTACTAGCCAACATTTGTCCGCGTCAGAAAACAGCAGATATTTTGCCACGCCACTGCTGGTTTCTTGTGACGTCTGAGCAACGAGTGCGGAGTGATTCCGTACTGATGACGCGCCACCACCCCGATCTGGTTAGTGCTTCTGATTGGTCGTCCCGCGTAGGAAATTTGCTTCAGCCAAACTCAGGCTAGCCTCCCACGCAGGCGTTTTTAGGGGAGCTCATTTTTCATCCCTCCCCACAAACGCCTGCTCAACCGAAAACAACATTCCTTTCCATTGTTTTATTTGCGTGGTAAGTGACCAATCAACAGTTGTGCAATAAAGTGTTGACAGGCTAAACGCGACTAAAACGTGACCCTACAGGTTTTCCTTCTTTTCTTTCCTTCGTTAAGGTTATGAAGTGCATGGAGTATTCTAAAATTGGATTGAATCTTATTTTTGCCGCTCTGAATCTAACATTTATTGGAGGTTAGCAAATTTTTCCAGTGTTTCATGCAGATCGAGTAATTATCAGATTACCTTGCGGTCAAGGTCAACTTTCCAGAATTTGGAAAGTACCATGTGATTGGCTAAGCATGGGAAAGGAATGTTGTCTTCGGCTGAGCAGGCGTTTGTGGGGAGGGATGAAAAACGAGCTCCCCTAAAAACGCCTGCGTGGGAGGCTAAACTCAGGCGTGTCACAAGAGGATATGAGGACAAGAAAAAAAGCAAGCCTTAAGGAGGGTCTGTACTGTCGCAATTTGTAATAATCATCGCACTTTGTAATACCTGTCGCAATTTGTAATAAATCCATCGCACTTTGTAATACCTGTCGCAATTTGTAATAAACCGTGTCGCACTTTGTAATAAAAAAGCTGTCGCAATTTGTAATAACAGTCCATCGCACTTTGTAATAAACTAAGCTGTCGTAATTTGTAATAATTCCATCGCACTTTGTAATAATTTTTTGAGAGTGATTCAACTTAATTCGTCAACATTAATATAATGCCAAAATATGCTACTTCATAAACAAAGATGGTGACGTCTGCTAGCACGTAACATCTCCGTAACATTTTCTTTGGTCAAACATGCATGTCTACCGCTATAATTTTTTCTGCCTTGATTAATCACGTGACCAACTAGAAAAGCTTTTATGAAAGACATGAAACTTCCTGTGACATATCACCAAAAAGATATGAATCATGTTTAAATTCAAGAATATTTAAATAACAAAAGCAACATTTAACAACAGAAAATTCATGAATAACCTGGCATTCGTCGTCCAAATCCATGTTTGCTTGCCACGTGACACGTGAAGTCTTCGGGGAGGGGGGGATAATCCCATATATGGATGGGCTAGATAGGTAAGTACCTCCTGATAGGGTATGGTTTTTGAGGATCTCGAGCCTTTAATAGGGTATCATTTTTTACGTTGTTGGCCTTGTGTCTTTGGTTTGATCCTTAGATAGGGTAACTCAAGTAGTAATGGATGGTTTATTCCATCCTTTCCATTTTGTGGAAAAACAGTAATCCAGAACACACTCGAAAGAGTTGTATATACGCAGGGAAGGATGATTTTTTACTATCCCGGCCCCATGATATTTGCTTTAGAGGACTCCTTATAGAAAACAATTGTTTTAACATGGAATGAGTACTCCTTTTGATCCTATATGGGTTCAAATCAAGTGAGAATAATGGGCCAAATGCCCAGCCGGCCCAGTGTAAGACCCCAAGTGAGTGTTATAAAAACAGGTACATACGAAGGTATTGGCCAGCGACTAATTGGATTTTGCTTTTAGGTTTCTGTTGTGGTTCGACGGTTTGCCACTGATGACGTTTTTTT